TTTTTTTTTTTTTTTTGAGACAGAGTCTCATTATGCAGTTCAGGCTGATCTTGAATTTACTATGTAGTCCAGACTGGCCTCGAACTTGAAATCCTCCTGCCTCAGCCTCCTGAGTGCTGGGATTATAGGCTACCGTGATCAGCTAGACCTGTTGACTATTAAACACATATCGTATTTCTGGGGCTTCACATTCCTAATCTCCCTTAGCCCTCATAACAAGCCTTATTCCCATGACACGGATTGAGAGACTGAGGCCCACATACATGAAAGCAACCACTGGTGTTTTGAGGGTTGGATGGAGCCTGGGGAGTGCCGTGGCCACATGTGGCAGGAGCAGAGGGGTGGTGGCCTCTTCTCTGTGGCTTCCTCTGAAACTATCCATCCCTGGCCCCAGGAGTGCCTATCCTCCAGATGGCGGGGGCGAACCACGGCCCCTTGTCCCCATGGCCCTGACCCGCTGACCTGTCCCTGTCCGCTGATTTCTTCATGTTGGTTCAACATTAACTCAGCAGGGTCAGGACAGGCCCGGGAGCCCGGCGAGACACACTCGTGCGATGGCGCACGTCGCAGGCCTGCAGCTGCCTGGCTGCCTGGCCCTGGCCCTGGCCCTGCTCGGCCTCGCGCTCAGCCAGGATGGTAAGGGTGGCTCCCAGCCGGCAGGGCGGGTGGGTGGCTTCCCTGTCCCGCACCCGAGGAGGGGCTCCACACCCCGCATCCCTACGGTGGCCACCCGGCCCCAGTTCCGAGGTGACCGCGCCCCGGCCTCCTGCCCAGTGTTCCTGGCCCCACAGCGGGCACTGTCGCTGCTGCAGCGGGTGCGCCGGGCCAACAGCGGCTTCCTGGAGGAGCTGCGCAAGGGCAACCTGGAGCGTGAGTGTGTGGAGGAGCAGTGCAGCTACGAGGAGGCCTTTGAGGCCCTGGAGTCATCCAGTGCCACGGTGAGTGGCCCTGAAGTCCTTTAGTTGCCTGGGTTGGGCTGGAACTTGGGATCCTCCTGCCTCAGCCTCTGGGGAGTGGGGCTGGGATGACAGGTTTATGCCACCGCACCTGCTTTCTTTCTCTGTTCTGAGCCCCAGGCCCCTGGGCTAGCACGATGGGGCCCCTCAGCCTCTCTTGGACTCCCTACACCTGGCTAGTGTGGCCTGTGCGACACACTGTGCCAGACCTGCTGAGGCTCCGTGACAGCGGGCCCTGGGCTGCCTGCGCTGGACCCTCGTGAGCCTGGTGCCGGCAGAAGCCTCTCCACCTCTTCAGGGCCATCCTCGGGGTGGGATCCTGCTGAGGTCTGGAGCCCTGAGCATGGCCCCTCTGTGCCTCCCCAGTCCCACCCAGTGTGGGGGTCCTGCTTCTTCACACATCGTTCTTCGGGGAGCAAAAGTAGGCAGCTCGTCTATAACCCCAGAGCCATCACAGCGAGGGGTGAGGGAGACCCTGAAAGGAGACAAACACAGTCCTGAGCTGGTGGTGGCCTGTGCCTGTCATCCCAGCATTCGAGGGGAGACTGAGGCAGGAGGATCACTGGGAGTTCGAGGCCAGTCTGGGCTCCGTAGTGAGGCCAAGGCCAGCTGAACTACTCCGGGACACCCTGCCTCAAAAAATTATAAACCAAAAGCACCATCCTGCCAGGCTCATCCCAGCACTTCTTTTCCAGGACGCGTTCTGGGCCAAGTACACGGGTGAGCACTGGAACGGAAGGGGTCCCTACAAGGGAGCCAGCCTGGCAGGGTGGGGGCGGGGGAGCTTCAGGGAGTCCGCCCCCTGCCCCCCCCGTCCCTCTGTGCGTCCCTCAGCCTCTTTCTGATGTCACCCTGACCCTCCGCTCCCGCCCGCACCTGTGTGCTCTTCCAGCATGCACGTCCGTGCGGAAGCCCCGGGAGACCTTCATGGAATGTCTGGAAGGTGAGGATCGGAAGGACAAACAGACACATGGACCGGACAGGTGGAGGGACAGATGCAGGCAGGCTTGGAGGGGACCCAGGGAAGGAGTGGCCAGTGGTGGCCATGCTGGGTCCTGCGTCCTGCATGCCAGGCCCTGGGCCAAGCGGCAGGGATTTGAGGGCATCGGATGCAGACCCTGCTTTAAGCAGCTCAGCGATGCACAGGAGAACGGAATCCACAGTCCTGTGACCGCACGACAGCCCTGTCCCGGTGCCGAGAGGCGGGGGCTGCGGCCTTAGCGCAGTCCAGCCGCGTCCCGGGACGGGGGCTCCTGGCCTTGTGGGGTGCACTCAGGGAAGGCAGCACTGGGCCCTGGGGGCTACGTGACAGGGACGGGGACCCAGGGCCACCCTTTCCGTCTTCCCTGAAGAGCCCCGGAGCACAGCCCGGGAGGGTGTGGCCCAGGCTGGCGGGGCCCACACAGAGCTTCGCTGGGCAGAGGGGACAGAGCCTCAGGGTTGGGGTTTCCACAGGTCACTGCGCCAGGGACCTGGGCATGAACTACCGTGGGGACGTGAACGTCACCCGGTCGGGCATCGAGTGCCAGCTGTGGAGCAGCCGCTACCCACACAGGCCCGAGTGAGTCCCGGCGGCGTGGGCAGCATGGGGGGCCCGGGCGTGGCCCCTGCTGAGCGCTGTCCCCCTCCAGAGTGAACCACACCAGCCACCCCAACGCCGGCCTGCTCGAGAACTTCTGCCGCAACCCCGATGGCAGCAGCGCGGGCCCCTGGTGCTACACCACCGACCCCACCGTGCGCAGGGAGGAGTGCAGCGTGCCTGTGTGTGGTGAGCGGGCCGCAGGGCCGCGCCAAGGCTGGGGTCACCTCCTGAGCTGGGGAAGGAACAGGCCTGATGGCCAGGGAGGCTGGAATCCCAGTACTTGGGGAGGCTGAGGCAGAAGGAGTGCTGTGAGCTTGAGGTCTGCATGGGCTACAAAGTGAGTTCAGGGTCAGCCTGAGCTATTTATGGAGACGTCTCTAAACAAAACCGACAACAGAAATTCCCACGGTAGTTTAACCCACTACAGGGGCATTGTCCTTTGTTGTCTGTGGACCCCTTGCTCCACCCTAGGATGGGTCTTAAGCAAGTTAGGGACCCTCTTCCATGTGCAGTGGTAACCAGCCTGCTGCAGGCCTGCTGGAATGGACTTCCTGTCCACACAGCCGTATTTGCTGCTGCGTTCTGTAAAAACACACAGTCCTTTCTTCCCCTTCCCAGCACGGGATTGAATGAGTGTCCAATGCAAGGGCTCCAGTACTGCGAGCTACAGTGCTGTTTTTGTTTTTGAGCCACAGTCTTGCTAAACTGTCCAGACTGGCCTCTAATTTGCAATCCTCTTGCCTCAGTCTCCTGAATTCTGAGGTTGTAAGGCTGTCTGCACCCCACCACATACAACTCTGAATTCTTAAAGCAAAACAAAATGGATAAAAACAAAAAAACCCACACCCAATCTTCCAGAGCCAGGCATGGCAATGCTCGCCTTTCATCCCAGCACTCTGGGAGGCTGAGACAGAAGGATCACAAGTTGGAAATTTGTGCCCAGCCTGGGCAATGTAGCAATTTATATTATGTTTTTTAAATTTTATTTTAAAGAGTAAAAGAAGGATAACCTAATAATAGGGGGGCTTACCAAATTACAGACAAAGTGGCAGGAAATTATCAATGGTTATTGTTTCACATATTGTTATCTACAAGATAGTTTCTCAGGAAAACAAATAGACAAATAATAGTGAGTTACAGACAAAAGAGGTAGGAGATTATCAATAGTTGTTGTACTATACTTTGGTGTCTTCAAAGTGGCTTCTAAAGAAAATAAATAGAGCTATACATGAGTGACCTATTGAATAATCATTAACTATTCTCAATGGTTGTTGTAGGAAACACATATAACATACATCCATTTATGAAATAGGATAGGAACAATACAAACATTACAGAGTTATGGATAGATTAGTAGGAAAATATCAATGGCTGCTGTAATACATGGTGGTATCTTCAAAGTGGTTTCTCAGGAAGACAGAGATACGCAAGAAGGATCTAACAAGTAGTTACAGCCTAAGGGTTGTCAAAAATAGCATATTACCTCCTCACCAGTGACTCCTGTCACTGAGGTGTGACGGCTGGAAGGAAGGCCAGGATTGAAAAGAAGGACCGAGAGACTTGCACCTGTGTCTAGCAACAGGCTGTTTTCTTGTTCCTCCATAGACGTGATTACCCAGGGCTCCCCCATGGAGATGACAGTCTGGCCAGAGGGAGAAGGCAGAGTATGTCCCAGGCCCCCTCATTCCTGTTAGACTAACTGGTAGGATAGGTCCGAGCTCTGGGGCCTCTGCTTTAGAGGGCAGACCAATCTCCAGTGGTCACCTTTGCATTCAGGGCATGGCCCAGGGGGCTTCTTAGGGCAGTTCCTCTTGAGGTGGCCTGGCTTTTAACAGTGGTAGCAGATGAATGCAGTCGTTGAGTTCTTCTTGGGGCCCCGGGAATCAGACTTGGGGTCTGTTTCTCTTAGTGCTGCAGCAAAAGCAGCTGCTTTTTCTCAGTCTCTTTGTTTTCTCTCCTTGGCCTCCTCCTCCTCACGGCTATACAATACTGAGGAGGCAATTCTTACTAACATCTCAAGTGAGCCATCTGGGTCAAAAGCCATTTTTTGTAGCTTTTTCTCTCCAGCCTCCCATTGCAATGGGACCCCACAACAGTGTAGCAATTTAGAGCCTTGGAGCCTGTCACAAAATAAATCAGGGCTTGGGATGCAAAAACAAACAACGCCCAGGACAGCTTGAACAAATGAAAACTGCACTCCATGTAGCCACTAGGGATTCAGTGCAGGCAGCCCGGGAGCCCAGGCCTGGTGACCCCCTCAGGCTTCTCATGCACCCAGTGTCAGGTTGTGGATTTGGCTTGAAGTGAGTTTAGACTCAGGTAATGAAAGTTCAGAGAGGTTGCACTGCCACCTGAGCATGCACAGCAGAACGTAGCACACAGGGATGCTGCCTCCTCCAGGGGCTCCCCACCCACTGGGCCTTGGGCCTCCCCTAGGCGAGGCGCGCCTCACTGTGGAGATGATACCCCGTGCCAGGGGCACCGGGCTGGATGTGTCACCTTCACCAGAGGACTGTGTCCCTGAGCGAGGCCGGCACTACCGAGGGCGCCTGGCGGTAACGTCACAGGGGTCTCCTTGCCTGCCCTGGGCCGGTGAGCAGGCCAAGTCCCTGAGCCAGGACAAGGACTTCAGCCCGGAGGTGAAACTAGAGGAGAACTTCTGCCGGAACCCCAATAAGGACGAGGAAGGTGCCTGGTGCTTTGTGGCTGGTGAGAACCGAGACTTCCAGTACTGCGACCTCAACTACTGTGGTGAGTGGCAGGGCTGAGGGTTGGGGATGTAGGGGATAACGCTGTGGCTCTTGTCCAAAGCTCACTGTGTGGCAGTGCTTGCACTAGTTATAGCGCTACAGAAACAGTGGGGGTTGGCCCTGTGCCCATTTTAAAGATGAGTAAACTGAGGCCAGTGGGAGCATGTTTACCTAGTTATCCAGGTGTGCCTATAATTTTTTTGTACTGGGGCTTGAACCCAGGACCTTAACCCTGAGCTACATCCCCATTTTATTTTTTATTTTGAGAGAGGGTCCCTGTAAGTCTGTCATTTGCCTAGGCTGGGCTTGAACTCAGTGGTGATCATCCTGCCTTCATCTAAGTGCTGAGATTACAGGCATATACCACCTGCCAGGCCTTGTGTGCCCTCTTAACCTCAGCACCCAGTGTCTGCCAAGACCAGCAAGGGGTCTGGAGGGTCTGGGGTGCTGGCCAGCAGTGGCCAGCCTGGCCCCAGCCAGTGCCTGGGTCTCGACAGAGGAGGTGTTGGAGGAGGAGGCGGCGGACGGGCTGGCCGAGGAGGCCATCGGTGGCCGTACCACGACAGAAGACTTCCAGCCCTTCTTCGACGAGAAGACCTTCGGCTTGGGGGAGACCGGTGAGGCTCAGGGCGGCGGGGGTGCGGGCGGGTGGCAGGGGTGCTCCCTCACCCGGCTCGCTCCGCAGACTGCGGGCTGCGGCCACTATTTGAGAAGAAGGGGGTGAAGGACACGACGGAAGAGCAGCTGCTGGACTCCTACATCGACGGCCGCATCGTGGAGGGCTGGGACGCGGAGACCGGCATCGCGCCCTGGTGTGTGTGGGCCCCTGCAGGTCCCCCTGCCCTCACGGGCCCCGCCCAGGCTCAGCAGGTGATACTAGGGGGCAGCCATGGTCTTGGGTCCCCCGGCTCGGAGACTCATCCCAGACATGTGGCTTGTGCACAGCCTAGGAGGCGAGTCCAATTTCCCCTGCTCCAGAGCTGTGCTGGGCAGTGCACGCCCCACACGGGAGGAGGCTGGGGGTGCACGGGGCAGCCTGGTCAAGCTGGGATCCCAGGCCCTGGCCAGCTGGTCCTTAGACTGGTCCTGCTAAGTCACTCAGTTGCCCAGGCAGAGCTCAGGCCAATTACTGCCTCAGCCTCCTGAGTGCTGGGATTCCAGGTGGGCCCCGCCACACCTCGCTGTCCAGCTGGGGCTCACAGCCACTTGCCGCCGCCCTCTACAGGCAGGTGATGCTCTTCCGCAAGACGCCCCAGGAGCTGCTGTGTGGGGCCAGCCTCATCAGCGACCGCTGGGTGCTCACGGCTGCTCACTGCATTATGTATCCGCCCTGGGACAAGAACTTCACCCACAATGACCTCCTGGTGCGCATTGGCAAGCACGCCCGCAGCAGGTGCGATGGGTGGCGGTGATGGCTGCACCCTCCAGGTGCCTGCCTGCCCCACGGTGGGACACCCGGCTGTCCCCAGGGAAAATTCCACTTGGCCGTGTCCTGACCAAGGCTTGGGGCTGCGGACGGAGTCAATCCTGCTGTGTTCCCAGCCTCACTCCAGGCACCAGGCTACAGTCCGGGAGGGAGTTGCTTCTTTTAGTAATCCAGCACTCAGGAGGCTGAGGCAAGAGGATCACTGAGAGTTCGAGGCTAGCATGGGCCACATAGTGAGTTCGAGGGGAGCCTGAACTATGTTACCAAAAATAGCAACAACAACAACAACAAAAATAGTGACTTCACCCAGGACGGCAACCTCTGTCCCTGTCCTTGTGCCTGCCTGCCTGACCTGCCTGGGTCCAAAGCCTAGTGTGGCTCTGGGACGAGGAAGCATCTGTCCAGCAGCTCCACGGCAGGAGCCAGCCCCATCCCTTCCCTGGTGGCCCTGCGCCTGCCCCCTCCCGCCCACAGCTCTGGTCTGTGCGGGCCGCAGGTATGAGCGGAATATGGAGAAGATCTCCATGCTGGAGAAGATCTACATCCACCCCCGCTACAACTGGCGTGAGAACCTGGACCGCGACATCGCGCTGCTCAAGCTCAAGCGACCGCTGTCCTTCAGCAACTACATCCACCCCGTGTGTCTGCCTGACAAGCAGACGGTGCTCAGGTGGGCGCCCCTTGGGGCTTCTGTGTGCCAGCCTGGTGCCGGTGGCTGGTCGTCACTTACCTGGGTCCCTTCCCTGCAGCCTGCTCCAGGCGGGCCATAAGGGCCGGGTGACGGGCTGGGGCAACCTGCGCGAGGTGTGGAAGAGCAGCCCGAACGAGGTGCAGCCCAGCGTGCTGCAGGTGGTGAACCTGCCCATCGTGGACCGGCGCACCTGCAGGGCGTCCACGCGGATCCGCATCACTGACAACATGTTCTGTGCCGGCAAGTCTGCAGCCCGAGCCGGGGACAGGGACGGGGATGGGGCACAGCAGCCCGAGGAGGTCCAGATGCTCACGGGGCTCCTGGAGCAGCTCTTGCAAGCTGGACAGCTGTGGGAAAATTGCTGGAGCTCCCGGGAGCTCAGCGTCCTCCTCTGTACAGCGCAGCTAGAATAGTCTACATAGTGTCTGACTCGGCAGCTATGTGGGCCACTGAGTGACGCACTCCTGCAATCCCAGCTCTCCGGAGGCCGAGACAGGAGGATTGTGAGTTTGAGGCCAGGCTGTGCAAGCTTGTGAGAACCTAACTCAAAATAAAAACTTGAAAAGGGCTGGGCATGCAGCTTAGCACACCCTGATTTCAACCCCAGTACTCGCGGGTAGGAGAAAGCCAAACATTCACCCATTCAGCAAATATTTATTGAGTGCCTACTGTGTCCTAGGCAGTGGTCCAGGGTATACAAGGGGGACTTGGGCAGCTGCTGCCTGTGTCCCAGGAGCACTTCCTCCCTGGGAGAGGGTGGCACCAACAAACACATGGAGGCCACGGAGCCTGCTGCATGCTGCAGAGGAGCGAGCAGAGTCCTATGGGAAGGGAGGGACAAGGGCTTGTCTTTTTTGTGGTGCTAGGGATTTGAACCCAGGACCTTGCACATGCTACGTTAGTGCTCCACCACTGAGCTCCACCACCAGCCTGATCTTTTACAAGGTTTTAGGGCCAGGGATATAGTTCAGCAGTACAAGTGCCTGCCTGGCAAACGCAAGGTCCTGAGTTTGATTCCCAGTACCAAAAAAATAAAATAAAATAAAAGGTTTAAAAATTTTTACTGTAGGGGATGGGGATTTAGCTCAGTGGCACAGCGCCTGCCTGGCAAGCGCAAGGTTGTGAGTTTGATTCCCAGTACCAAAAAAATAAAATAAAATAAAAGGTTTAAAAATTTTTACTGTAGGGGATGGGGATTTAGCTCAGTGGCACAGCGCCTGCCTGGCAAGCGCAAGGTTGTGAGTTTGATTCCCAGTACCGGAAACAAAACAAAACAAAAAAACCACCATTTTTACTGTAAATTCAGACTCACAAAAAGTTGCATAAATAATAGTATTTATGTATACTATCCTCCTGATTTCCTTAACTAGGTGTGTGACATGCACACACCCAGCTTGAGTGTAGATTGTACGTACTTTTTTAACCCAATATTTCAGTATTTCAAAAAAAAAAAAAACCCAAATATCTTCTTTCTTTTTCTTTTTCTTTTTGAGATAGGCTCTTACTATGTAGCTCAGGCTGGAATTGAACTCACTATGTAGCCCAGGCTAGCCTCGAACTCATAGTGATCCTCCTGCCTCAGCCTTCTGAGTCCTGAGATGACAGGTGTGCACAGCAGTATTATGTAACGTGTTACACCTTATTCAAAATGGTCGATTATGCCACTAAAATCCTTTCTCACAGAAGAGAAACAATGTTGTTCTCATCTGAGGGGCAATCTAGGGTCATACATCCCATTGTACTTAGTGGTCAGGTTTTGTCTTCCTTTTTTTTTGTCTTTTTGAGACAGGGTCTCACTATGCAGTTCAGGCTGGCCTCGAACTCACGGCGATCCTCCTTCCTCAACCTCCTGAGTGCTGGAATTAGAGGCACCACACCCAGCTGAGTTCAGCACTTCTTAGTAGTCATTCCTGAGTATGCAGACAAAATAGTGCTCAGAAGTTACTTGGGTTAATTACTTTTTCCCTTGCTCGTGCTATTTATTTAAAATCATTGGCCTTCCTGGTTTCTGATTGGATTGTTTTGCTCCTTGTCTGTTTTAATTTCTGGAGTATGTGAAATGTGGTACAAGTCAGACCTGCTGGGACAAGTGCTACCCAGACAGTGACAGCCCCCTTCCTGCTATCCTGTCCCCATCCCCTCCCTCACCTGCCACTGCCATCCTTGCCCTGGAGGAGACCTGTCTCTTTAATTTGTGCATTATTATTATTTTTTAGACAAGGTCTCGCCATGTAGTGTAGGCTGGCCTCAAATCTACGGAGATCTTCCTGCCTCAGCCTCCTGAGTGCTGGGATTACAGGCATGTGCCACTAGCCCTAGCTTTGTGGCTTATTCTTCCTGTTTCTTTTTGCACAAATAAGCACACACTGTATATTTTATTTCCCGTTTTTTACACACAGGGAAACAGTACAGATACTGTTTTGGGCTTTGCTCCCTTCTCATTAGCACTGAGACATTTTGGTAGGTGTGCATGCTGTCCTCATGATGGAGATGTCCCACAACAGGTCTCTTTCTTTTTCCTTCTGGTGCTAGGGATCAATCCCAGGGCCTGGTGCCTGGAAGGGGGTGCTCTGCCCTGCACTACACCACTGGCTGTGGACGTACTTATACTGTTCACCCACCCCCTCCCGTGTTGCTACTTTGCAATTCCACACAGTGCTGTAAGGAAGCCCCTTGCGCAGTTTTGCACCACTGCAGGCATCTGAGGTGGGGTGTGCAGTCAGGAGGTAAACGCATAGTTTTGTTGGTTGCTTCCAAATTTCTTTCCATTAGGGTTGCACCATTTGCACATCTGTCTACAGGGAACGAGCATGCCTGCACCCCGCAGCCTTGGCCACAGCAGGGCTTGCTTCTTAATTCTCACCCATCTGAAATGGCATCACAAGTTTTAATTAACTTTTTTTCTAACTGAAATTGAGGGTAGCTATCTTTTCCTATGCTTACGGGCCAATTTTTATGTAACTTTTTTTTGTTGTTTTTTTGAGGCAGCATCTCGCTATGCAGTTCAGGCTGGCCTTGAGTTCACTTTGTAGCCCAGGCTGGTCTCGAACTCGCAACGATCCTCCTGCCTCAGCCTCTCAAGCGCTGGGATTACAGGTGTGCGCCACCATGCCTGGCTTACTGTAGTTGTTTATGTTCTACACTAGAGGATATGTAGGGAGTTTTGTATAAGGGAAATTGCCATTATCCTTTGCTATCTCTCAGTTTAATCTTCTTTTCTTTTTTGGCCTTTTTTTTTTTTTGGTACCAGGAATCGAACTCACGACCTTGCGCTTGCCAGGCAGGCTTTTACACCGCTGAGCTATATCCTTGGCCCCTTTTCTGTCCTTTTTAATACATGCTTGCAATAAATACTAAACACATTCATTGTAGGAACTGGTACGTTTACACACCCCCTTTTGATCCTTTCTACTTCCCTAAGTTGCTTTCTGAGTCATTCTCGGCTGGGAGCGCTGGCACACACTTGTGATGCCAGCACTCTGGGGGAGGCTAAGGTAGGGAGATGTGAGTTTGAGCCCACCCGGGGCAATTTAGCAACTTAGGGGGTCCCTGGCTTTAAAAATCCAAAGGGCGGGGGTGTAGCGCAGTGTGAAGTCCCGGGCTCAGGCCTGCCGCAGCCGTTCTTGTTGTAGGTGGCAGAGCAGAAGCGGGAGGCGGGGAAGCTTCCGAGTGTGGGACTTGCCTCAGTGGCCGGTTTGGGACACGCTGGCAGCACAGATGAGACTGGCTGAGGGCCGGCGCGGGCTGTCCTGGGGGCGTGCGGGCGCCGGCTCTTGGCGGGGCAGGTTCCTGAGCCTGCCCTTCTCGCTCAAGGTTTCAAGCCTGAGGAAGGAAAGCGCGGGGATGCTTGCGAAGGCGACAGCGGGGGACCCTTCGTCATGAAGGTAACTTCCCGGGCTGGAGGCGGCTGGCAGAGCCCGCGGTCCGCCCGGGTGCCGCCTTGCGCGCGGCTTTCCCAACCCGCCTTCCCTCCTCAGAGCCCCTTCAACCACCGCTGGTATCAAATGGGCATCGTGTCGTGGGGCGAGGGCTGCGACCGGGACGGGAAGTACGGCTTCTACACACACGTGTTCCGCCTGAAGAAGTGGATCCAGAAGGTCATCGAGCAGTCTGGGTAGCCTGCCAGCCCCTCCTGCAGTCGCAGACAGTCGCCAGTGCGCCGAGTATTTCTGTGGTTTCTGAAACGACAGCTCCAATAAAAGCGCGTCGGGAGCCTCGGGTGCCTTTCCGCGCGCGGTGCAGCTGGCTGAGGACGGGGCGGGGTGTGGGCTGCACGCGGGAGCGTCCAGGTGTGCGTGGGGCGGCCTGTGCTCACTGGAGGCAGATGGGTAAACTGAGGCTTGGAGAAGGAGCTCGTCCAAAGTCACAAAGCTAAAAACTCAGAGTAGGACGGAAACAGGAGCGGAGGCCTTCGCTCTGGCTGCTCGGCTGTGGGGCCCAGAGCAGGGGGGAAGGGCGCGTTGGGGTGACGGCCCGTCTTTCAGTCTACTTCAGGCTTTCCTGCGATGGCCCAAGCCAGCCCACGTCGGTCAGTCAGCTCAGTACTCGGTACCTTCATCTGCGTCCTGGGGGTGAGGGGCTAGGGGCACAGCCTCTCGCACGACCACTTGGGTTCAGATTCCGGCTCCAAGCTTAGCAGGGGTACATGGTCACGTCACCTCACATTTGTATTTTACTTTTATTTTAGCTATTCGTTTTTTGAGACAGGGTCTATGTAGCTCACACTGGCCTGGAACTCACGGCAGTCCTGCCTCAGCCTCCTGAGGGCTGGGGTTGGAGGCCTGCACCACCACGCTGGCGTAACGGCGCAGGGTTTGCCGCTCACCCCCGGTGCGCCCTCCTCCCCTGCTCTGCGCCCAACAGCAGAGCAGCCGGAGCAGAGGCCTCTACTCCTGTTTCTGTCCTACTCTGAGTTCCACTGAATGACTTAGCAAGACCGTCTCACAGTCAACAGTAACAGGCTAGGGTTCAGGACTTGGGTTTAATCACCAGCACACACACAAAAAAACAAAAGAACATAAAGTGACAGATTTTTTTTTTTTTGAGAGAGGGTCTATGTAGTTCAGGCTAGCCTTGAGACCTTGAACTCAAAGCAATCTTCCTGCCTCAGCCTCTTAAAGGCTGGGATTACAGGCCTGCACCACCACACGGGGCAAAGTGACAGGATTTAACCCCTCCCCCAGCACACTCTTCAAGGTTACGCTGGCAGAGGCCACCCTGTGGGACACAGCATGGCTCTGACCCAGGGCCGGCCTGGAGGTCCTGAGTACAGTGTGGTGTGCCCTTCCCATGGGGTGCTTCTGACCCGTGGCAGCGCCGGCAGCATCTGTGACAGGGCGTTCACAGGGGCGACGGCACCTGGAGGAGAGGAGCTGGGATGGCTCTGCCCTGGGTCGGGTGGAGACAAACGCCAAGCAGGGACTATTCATGGCTTAAGCCCTGCAGCTACCCTGCCGTGGCTTCGAGCAGGAAAGGAGTGACAGGAACTGTCTTTAACCCTCTCCCCAGTCCTTCCTTCTTTTTAGTACGGAAGGGAACAGAGGCCGGGACACAGGGCTCCGTCCTTGTCCTTGGTTTTGGCTGAGCAGGAGAGGGTCCAGTGCGGAGCTGAGCGTGCTCGCGGCATCTCAGCGGCACAGAGCCTTGCCCTGATGGGAGAAGGGAACTAGGTTGGCGGATCCCAAAGCTGCTTGGGAAGCGCCCGGGGCCATGCAGACTGCTTCCCTCCCTGTCCCGGCCACAGGTCAGCTCTGGGCACTTGGGGTTTACAGCTTAGCTGTGCTAACTCAGTCCATGGCCGAGCGCGTGTCCTTCTCCGGCCTGAACAGCACCTTCCCACTGTGAACACTTGCTGTCTGCCCTGGGCCGCTGAGCGTGCGAATGGCAGGCTTCTCTCTGGCAGCTTGGATGACGGGTCAACAAGGATCCACGCTCCGTCTCTGTTCTCTTCAACTCTAGCTGGGAAGGTCCGCAGGACTCCCTGGGTCTCCCCCGACTTCAGAAGCTCTCAGCCTGCAGTCTTCCTGGCTGTGGAAGGGAGCGTCCAGAGCTTTTACTCCGGAGGTGAATCCTTTAGTCCACATTCTGGTCCTCACGCACACCAAATGCAAAGCAGCTTAGTCTGGACCCAAAGATTCGCAGCTCACCAGGTTGTGTTCTCCCAAGTCCATCTGGGAAGGAGCCCCACCTGCAGACGTGCTGTGGGAACCCACGCAGCCCAGCTGACGATGGGCACACTCTCCCGGGCACTTGAGCGGCAAGGTGGTAGGCAGGTCATCTGCAAATTCCTGGCAGCGCTGGCTGCTGAACCTAACACGGCCCTGGAAGCTCACGATGGCAGGACAAGATTTCTCTGCGCTCCTCAGAGCCCATGTGGGAAGCAGGAGAGGCAAGTCCCTTCTATTCCAAGCGAGTCACAGATGCCCCACATCTGTGAGCCAGGAGGAGGTAGGGATCCAGAGGCAGCAGCGAACCTTTCTTGAACTGGCTATGTCCTGGTCCCAAATCAGGTGACAGACAGAGTGGCCCAGCACTCTGGGGTATGGAGCACCTTGACAGACAGGTATAGTTAATGCAAACTTTATTTATAAAAGACTCTTAAATTAGTTGCTTCATGCCATGCATTCATACAGAATTCAGTGACCCTCCGGGGCTACAGGGAGAAGAGATCACAAACTCAAAGAAAAACTATGAAAGAGTTCTAATAGTTAAAAGCCAGGAAAGATTAGGACAATTTTACAAATGAGCAGTCAAAAAGAAAAGAACAGAAAAAGCCATGGAGACTAGTGTGTGCTGAGGGGCAGCTGTTTACAAGTCTGTACACTAACTAATCCACAGACGGCTGTGGGCGTGTGGGGACGGGGTGGCCACACCCCCTCCTCTGCTGGCCCACACCTAGAGCCACTTTGTGCACACTCGGCCTGTGCGGCCACGCCACACTATGAGGGCGTCTAGTTAGTAACCTAAAGCTGCGGGGGGCCAAGATGGCAGCTTCATTTGCGACTGCTCTTTATTCTCTCCAGTCTTTTTTTCAAGTCGTCGATGTTGGTGGTGGAGGAGGAGGAGGAGGTCACGGTGCCTGCGGAGTGGGTCTGGTTGGAATCCAGCTCTGAGTGCTGGTGCTGCTCGCGAGACTCTCGCAGCTGGAACAGCTTGCTGTGCAGCATGTCTGTGGAGGAGGCCACTGTGGGCACCGTGGGCTTAGAGAGCAAAGACGTCAGCGCAGGCCGGTCATCTTGCTGCAGAGAGAAGAGGGGACACTGTCTCAGGCCAGGGGAACAGGTCGAGGCTGAGCTGCCACCCTGGGCCAGCCTGTACTGACCCCACATCACGGCCCTCCCAGGGCCTGCGGAACGAGGAGCAGTACCTTTGTGTTGTCCAGCCCACATCTCTGCCGGAGGATTTTTAGCCTTTCCAGGTAGACAGATGGTCCCACCTCTTCTCCATTTGTGTTAACTATGGAGGACATTGTGCTTGTAGGGGTGGGCACACAGGTGACCTCCATCTGAGGTGAGATGCCTAGGGAGAAAAATGCATGGAAAATATTCCCACAGATGCACCGCACTCCCAGACTGCCTGGGCAATCTGTCCCCTGAACGAACAATTAAGGACTTCTAGCTGGGGATGTAGCTCAGTAGTACAGCATCTGCCTGACATGTTCAAGGCCACAAATAACAAATTCAATCACACACATGTACTTCCTAGAGCACATGCCTATAATCCCTACTACTTGGAGGCTGAGGCAGGAAGATCACAACTTGAGGGCAGCCTAGGCAAACTTAGTATGAACCTCAGGAAAAAAAAAAAAAAAAAAGAGCCAGGCGTGGTGGTACACACCTGTAATCCCAGCCCTCTGCAAGGACTGAAAATAGGAATCCAGCTTGGGCAAGTTAGCAAGACCCTGTCTCAGAAAGTAAGAAGAGCCAGGGATACAGCGTAGTGTGAAGGCCTTGGGTTCAATCCCCAGTGCCATGAGAAAGAGGGGAAAAACATTAAAGGTGGGTTGAAGGCTGCCAATGCAGTTCAGAGGTATGCAGCATATACTTTGCTTGAACAAGCCTTGTGTTCAATCTCTGGTATCAAAAAACAAAAATGTCTGCGAGTTTGAATGTTGCCATTGTATGTGAAAATGAAACGCACAAGGCTTCACCTGGAGTGGGGATTGTGAGTAACTTCTTTTCTTTTTTTTCTTTTGGTACCGGGAATTGAACTCATGACCTCAGGCTTGCCAGGCAAGCACTTATGCCACTGAGCTACATCCCTGACCCCTGGAGTAGGGATTAAAGGTCCTCAGGCATAAGGTAAGCCTGAGGAGAACTTCAAGAACTCAAGAAGACCCAGAAGGGCAGAGTATAAGTTAGGCTATCTGTCTGTACACCAGTATACAAGAGGTTGGATTTCAGTAAAAAGAGGTTGGATTTCAGGACTCATCAGGGAAATCCAAGACACCTCAGCTACTCCTGTGTATACTGTCATTGCCCAACTGAAGCCTGGGACCTCAAGTGTGTGGACCATGAGCCACACTGGAAAGTTCTTTTTCAGACCCAGGAAGGACAGCGTGGAGCTCAAGCCCATGGAGGATTCCAGAGCAGAGGAGGAGTTGAGGTGTCCAACAAACACCTAGAGTGGGACAGGCATGGGCGCAGCTGAAACTGTCATGGCGATCCACATTCTAGCACGAGAGGGAGAAACTAAAATTACTCAAACAATCACCAAAAGTCTCTTTCACTTCCTAAATGTCTGAGAAGGAACAATCATGAAATGTGGGCATTTAAAATACTGAGTTTGGGGCTGCTTCCTGCCTGCCAGGCAGCGAGCTGTTTCTCCTCTGCCATGCCATCAGCTGACAACGGACTGAAACATCTGCAAACTGTGAGCCAAAATGAACCTTTGCTCCTGTAACTTGTGGGTGCTGGGTACTTTGTCTCAGCCATGAGAAAGTAACTAAAATAACCTGGAAAATAACAACTAAGCAAAAATGAAGGAAGAAAAATCTTCAGGAATTAAGGACAAACTGACAGGAAAAGGAGAAATCACAGAGGGACCAGAGAAGCTAAAGCTAAGTCTGGAAGAATAAAGATGCCATCTGAAAGTGGATAATTTCTGGGTACACATGAATTGCAAACACTGAACCAAGAAGATACATAAAGCACTGGATAATTCAGTAACACAGTAAAACTGAAGCAGTTAAAAAAAAATCCCCAAAACCTACCAACTAAGAAAAGCGAAAAAAACCAAACCGAACCAAACCCCAAAATACAAAAACAAAACTGAACTTATGGCTGAGGGTAAGAGCAGCGGTAGAGCACTTGCTTAGTACGTGCAAGGCCCCAAAACTGATCTCTAGCACCAGAAAACAAAAACCTAATCTGATTTCCATGAAAATGCATTACTTTTTACAAAAAAATAAAGTACTGGGGAGGAAGAATTCCTGACAGATATAAGGTGAAAAAGGAATGAGGAATAATGTAAAACGTGGCAAAGGAGGTCTGAATACCCTTGGGTATGAAACCAGCTCAGGGATCACGCTGTGGGTGTTGCAAATGTGCTATTTAGGTAAAAAACATCAAATGTTGGACAGCACCAGAACAGAACTCTGGAAATGGAAAAGGAGGCCCTTCCCTGACCAACTGCACCATGTTCTGCCCGTATGTGCACCGGATATTCTCACCAGCCTTCAAGAAAGACTCTCGGTCTCAGAGAGGGGTCAAATCCTGGGGGCAGAGGTGGGGAGCTGGCCCCAAGCCCCTCAGGTGCTGGCCTGTGAGTTCTCGCAGAGCAAGGGGCTGGTGGTGCGAGACAGCAGACGAGGTTCCCCAAGTCCAGGGAGTCAGTCAAGGGCTTTGCTGAGCACAGGCTCCCACAGAGCGCCACGAAGGCACATGTGGACGGAACCCAGGGAGGGTCTGAGCCTGCTTCTGGAGCAACAGAAGGAAACCTTACCTGTGGAAGTGGGAATCCGGCCTTTGCCTTCCCTCTCCATCTCAATCACCCGAAGGCCTCTTTCAACATAACTCTGAAAGAACTGCGAGGAATTTTTCAAAAATGGTTCAATATCAGCATCCGAGTATTTCTTCTTATATTCATATAACTCTGCCAAGCCCTGATGAACAAGAGAAAGGAAAGAAGGAAAGACAGGGATGTTCGTTAGTGCCTCTTTCCCACAAAGCAGGTCCCCGTTGCTTCAGTCCTTTCACTCTTACCTCTTTAGTGTTTTCTTTAGAGCCAATCTTCTTAAAAATCTCAGCTAAGAAATCGTTCACTTTGGCCTTTGATGATTTTTCATCCTGCAAAATTGAAAGATACCAGGAAAGCTGTTTAGGTTTGAGTTACGGTTCCTGAGATCTTAAAACCTGGACCTTACTGGTACGTCCCTGCAGGTCATGGTGCAGCCGAAAAACCAACAGCCTGGTTAGAATGCCTGTGGTCTCAGGTTTTTCAACTGCAGCAGATGAAGGAGCAACTGGCTCACGAGTCCCCAGTTTAACAGCCTGAAATGGGTGCATCTAGTGAGCAATGCCTTGGGCACGCACACGGAAACCTTTCTTGGGGCTTCCACACCACAAGGTTATTAGTATATATTTTAAAGTGTCATGCTGGAAATGGTTAGTGCTAGAGCCCAGGAGACCGAGCAGGTCAGTCCCTGGTCCTGACCTTGGCCTTCAGAGGTGTCTCCAGGGACCTAACTGCAGACCTGAACCTTTCCCGAGCGCTCAGCCTTTCCCACAGGCCACTCACGATTCTCGATGCGCCCTTTTCAGTTTCCTTCTCAGACTTGCTCCCAGCCTGGTCCATGCTATGCTTCATCATCCGGCAGAGGTGGGCCTCCAGCTCCGACTCATTCTTGTTGTCAATCATCGTGAGGTGGTCCAGGATCTGATGGGAGTCGGCACATTCATGTGGAGGCGGTGCCCCTGCCCGGCATGCTCTCAAGCCCTCCAGACCCACTGCTGCTCCCACTTACCTTGGGGCCTTTTAACTTGCATAAGGTGTGCAGCAGCGTCTTTAGGGTCCTTATAGGAAATTCACTTTTGCACTGCTTCAGCTTCTCCTTGGGGAAGACTTTCATGAAAATGTGGATGTCCAGAAGAATTCTGTCCAGGTTGATGCTGTTGATGGTATCGGGCAGCAGCCGAACCATTCTCCAAAGACACTATTGAGAAAAGAAATGGAAGTTAGGAGCAAGACTGAAGAGTGAGAATACTGTGTCACCATGTATCTTTCCCAAGCTCAGGCTCCCTTCTAAAAGATGGTCTGAAATGTAAGTGAGGATCATAACTTTCAAGTTCGGCTGGTAAACATGAAACTTTTTATTTTCTGTTTTCTGATGTAGTCTAAGCTGGCCTTCAACTTGAGGTGATCCTCCTGCCTCAGCCTCTCAAGTGCTAGGGTTGCAGGTGCGCGTCACAACACCTGGCTAGACACGAAACGTTTTATTAATCTCTCCACCTCATCACTGAGTGAAGTATGACAAATCACCCACCTCATCATCCCTCTCCCTTCTTCCTGCTCCCAAGATGGGGACCATCATGGATATTGTGCAAACGTGGGGATTCTGCCCTGGGTTTCCTTGGTACCTAAGAACAGCTTACTTCAGCTTGCTTAACCACATTAAACCTGAGCAGACAGCCAGGCATGGTGGCGCACGCCTGTACTCCCAGCACTCGGCAGGCTGAGGCAAGAGGATCATTGCAAATTCAAGACCAGTCTGGACTATAAAGTGAGCTCAAGGCAAGCCTGAACTGTAAGTTGAGACCCTGTCTCAAAAAGACAAACTAAACCAAAAAAAATAAACCAAACCCGAGCAGACAAAAGACCATATACTGCTGCCGTATCCTAACAGTGTTACAACATTATAGATCTGTTTGTTTGGAGTCTTCCAAGAAACAGACTGAAGTTTTATGTGGCTATACATTCCAGACAGAAATAAAATTTGTCTCATCAAACTTCTTGCCTTTTGATTTTGCATGTGAGTGAACTACCTACAAAAAGAACTACCTTCAAAAAGAACTACCTTCTTTTTCATTGATGAGGCCCAAAATCTAGGCCTGAGCTTGGTGTATAATTTGGAAGGAAGGAAAATGAAGACCAATTATATTTTGTCAGATGTTTTGGCTGATGTTGAGTCAGTATCTTAGCTCAGGTTCTTTTTTCCTATACTTTAACAAAGTTACTGCATCTCTGAAAGAAAAGAGATCAAATCATTTCAACCTCACCTTCATAACAAGTTCTGAGAATTTGGGAGAACTGGCTGTGGCTAGCAGGCTGTCTTGCAGCAAAACAAGTAGGGCACTGGAAAATAAACCAACACAGCATTAATATGTTTCAAACATTCACTCCAGGTAAAAATACTAAGTGAAGGGCCAAGTATGAGTATTCTCTTATTAACAAGGGGAGTACTTATGGGTACTTGGCATTTAGTTGTTTTTAAAGAAATCATTTTTTAAGCTTTTACCACTTAGAAAATAATCATTTGTCACTTTTTTATTGTTACTGATCGCTAAAGAGAAATGTATCTGAAAAGTACAAGTCAGAAGATATAACTGACAGGGGCTGGGGATTTAGCTCAGCGGCAAAAGCGCTTGCCTGGCAAGCGCAAGGTCGTGAGTTCGGTTCCTGGTACCGGAGAAAAACCAAAAAAAAAAAAAGAAGATATAACTGACACATTTTATAATTAATTCTATGCTAGAAAACTCATGGTGAGCCGGATGTGGTGGTGCACTCCTGTAATCCCAGCACTTGGGAGGCTGAGGCAGGAGGATCATTGCGAGTTCGAGGCCAGACTGGGCTACAAAGTGAGCTCAAGGTCAGCCTCAACTGCATAGTGAGACCCTGTCTCAAAAAGACAAACAAAAAAAACAAAACTCATGGCATTGGTGGCTTGCTGAGGTGTACTAGCTTTGGGTGTTGTCTCAGGCGGGAATACCTTGGGTCCATGGGAAGCTGAAAAGTAATAAACCAATCGACTAGGCAAATCTAAGTTACAACTGCTTTAGTGACTTTCCAATATGTACGTGTATTTAAAAGAGAAACTGTTCCAAGCTCTAATGCAGAATGTGTACAAATGTACCTCAAAATGTTGGTCTGGTCGGACTTCTCCAGAACTTTCACCACCAAGAGGTTCACTGAGCGGATCACCTGCTGCCCTTCCTCTAGGTCTTCGATCCGAGAATCCAGCATTAAGGTGATGAGGCCATGCATCAGGTCTTTCAGCACTCCAGTGGAAGCCTCCCGGGCCAGGCTTTCAATCTGAAATAGCTATCCAGTCCTGATTGTGTTAGGCAGATTAATACTCAATGTAAGGAGCAAACAGGATAAACCTGGGTGGGATATCCTAATAAACATTCAATTATATTGTATTCTTAAAAACTCAAGAGTGCTGCAAGAAAATCACATAGGAACTTTCAGTGATAGCCAAAACTATATATACATATATAGTTTTTTTTTTTTTTTTAAGTACTAGAGATTGAATGCAGGGCCCTCACCCTACCCCTTTAAATTTGATTTTTTTAAAAAATTTTGAGACAGGGTCTTACTAAGTTGTTAAATGGCCCAGACAGAGGGGGAACTTGCCATCTTTAGTGGGATTACTTGCCAGTAATCAAGCCCTCTACTTCAGCTTACCACAGGGCTTGCTTACTGGCATGTGCCACACACCTGGGTTGTTTTATATATATATTTTGTTTGTTTGTTTGTTTTGTTTTTTTCCAGTAACGGGAATCGAACTCACAACGTTGCGCTTGCCAGGCAGGCACTGTGCCACTGAGCTAAATCCTCAGCCTGTTTTATATTTTTGATTTCTTTTTTTTGTCTTTTTAAGACACAGTTTCACTATATAGTTCAGGCTGGCCTTAAACTCACTTTGTAGCCCAGGTTGGAATCGAACCTGCAGCAATCCTCCTGTCTCAGTCTCCCCAGTGCTAGGATTACAGGCAGTTTTATATTTTTGAGACAGGGTCTCACTATGCCCAGGCTGGCCATGAACTTGCTATGTAGTCCAGGCTGGCTCCAAACTCACAATCCTCCTACCTCAGCTTTCCAAGTGCTTGTGATTATAGGTGTATGCCATCACACCCAACTTGAACAATACTTTTAACATAAATACACTTATCTGTGAAAAGCCAAATACAGTCTACCATACCTGAAAAAAAAAAAAAAAAAACTGGCATGAAGCACTCTTGGTAGTAGGTAAACATTCTACTTAATATCCTTTTTTTTTGTTTTGTAGCAGGAATTAAACTCAGGACCTTACGCTTGCAAGGCAGGCACTGGGCCTCCGAGCCATATCCCTGGCCCTCTACTTAAAGGAAGGAACAGCTTGGATGAGGGAAAGAAGAAAAAGAAAGTACTAAGGCAATTATCTCTCTCTCTCTCTCTCTCTCTCTCTCTCTCTCTCTCTCTCTCTCTCTTTCTCTTATCTGGGATAATTGTACTGCTGATGTCTGGTAGTTTATTGAAAGGAACCATGCTTACAATTTTTTTTTACATATATTTTGACCATTTTTGCATGCTTATATCTGGTAATCTGAGCAACTTATGTGAAGACAACAATATGCAATATAACAACCACTGGTGAATTCCTACCATCCTGTCTAGTGAAGCTGTGTATTGTCTCTTATGATTTTTTAAATTATTATTTTCTTAATCTCTTGAATGGTTTGATCAATCTTCCATTCTTACATCTGGTAAGATGAGCAACTGCATTGAAAATAACAATATGTAATATAACCACAGTTAATCCCTATCATTTGGTCTGAAACCCTGTATCATTTTTATTTCTTTTTTATCTTTTTGAGACAGGGTCTCACTACGTAGTTCAGGCTGGCCTTGAGTTCACTTTGTAGCTCAGGCTGGTCTCGAACGCACAACGATCCTCCTGCCTCAGCTTCTCGAGTGCTGGGATTATAGGTGTGCACCACCACACCCAGCACCCTGTATCATTTTTAATGTCCTTGCTTTGTTTTGTTTGTATTTTGCTATTTTTTTTTTTTTTTTTTACTATTTTCTTTAAAATTAAAATTAAAAAAAAAAATCTCCATAATAAGGTACTCTGGACTGTACCCCAAAAGCCAATGGAAGTGGTCAGCAGCCTGCTAGAGCAATCACAGAAAGTTCTGCAAAATGACCAAGGACGCTCGGAACAGATGCACCGCCCTGGCTGAGCACCCAGGGCATGAGTGACGGCGGGCCGCTCCGCTCTGCAGAGCACCTTACCGAGATCATGTTGCCGATGATGCAGCTGTACAGCTTGATGATCTCATCCTTCTCCAGCTTCTCATCTGCCATGTGCGTGTTGTAGATGAGTCGGAGCTGCATGAAGGTGGCTATCAGAAACTGGTCAATGTGGCCAGACATAGCTTCAGCTTTGTCTTCCTGTCTCAGGACCTCATCGATCTAATAATGGAAATTCCAAGATATATTTTCCAAGCTTCATACAGAGCAGTAGAGACACTGCAAGGAACTTCTCTGTAGGAGGATTAGTAAAGCATTTCCAATCTTACCTTGAAATATACCATTGTAAAAACTCATTCTAAGGAAACTGTCATTTAATATATATTTATTGAGCAAGATATTATCTGGATGAATCACAAATACTATTCTAACAGGCTGTCTAGTTCAGGGAATAACCCTACATTTAAATGTTCAATGTTTTGTCAGTCACGGTGGCACACACCAGCACTTGGAAGGCTGAGACAGAAGGATCATCATGAGTTCATGACCAGCCTGGGTTACATAGAAAGTGCAAGGTTAGCCTGAACTACATAGTAAGAACCTGTCTCAAAAAAACCCCGAAAAACAAAAATATGATTAACTTATTAAAAAGAATGCTTTGGCCAGGGACATAGCTCAGTGGCATAAGCACCTGGCAAGTGAAGGTCCTGAATTCATTACTGGTCCTCCAAAAAATAAGTAAGTAAAAAGAATGCTTTTTAGACACTTTTTTTCCCTCCCTTAGGTGCTACTGGTTATTCAACCCAGGGCCTTTACAATGAAACACATCCCCAGACCACTTTTTATTTTTATATATTTTTAGTCTTTTTTGAGACAGTGTCTCACTATGCAGTTCAAGCTAGCCTTGAACTCACTTATGTAGCCCAGGCTGGACTCGAACCCACAACTATCTTCCTGCCTCAGCCTCCTAAGTGCTGGGATTACAGGTGTGCACCACCACACCTGGCCACTTTTTTTATTTTTGAAATAGGGTCTGCCTAAGTCACTAAGTTGCCCAGGCTGGGCTTAAACTTGGGATTCTCCTGCCTCAGTCTCCCAGGGTAGTTTTGGGATTACAGGTATGAACCACCATGTTCAGTATTTTTAAAGGTATTTTTGGTACCAGGAATTGAAGCCAAGACCTCATGCACACCAGGCAAATGCTCTACCACTGAGTTACATTTCCAGTGGTAATGAAGATCTTATTTACAAAAAAAGGGTGGGAGCACCAGTTATATACATTATAAGATAAATGGTGCCCCCTGGTGTGGAAACTATAGTCCTACTTTCATTTATTATGTATGTGTACTTCCTAAGCACAATTTTACATAAAACTGGGAGGTTTTAACAATGACGTTTTGGGGCCAGGGATACAGTTCAGTGGCGCAGTGCCTGCCTGGCAAGCATGAGGTCCTGAGTTTGATTCCCAGTATCAAAAAAAAAAAAAAAAAGATATCATGGACACCATGAAAGACTGTATTTTGGGGGAGGCTTACTCTCCCTCTTTTTTGAAGGTAGGTAATAGTGATAATGTGGCATATACTCTCATGTGCATGTATCATATATAATCACATATACACATTTACAGAGTCAAAGTTTGGGACACTTTATTCCAAGAGCATTGCAGTATATTACTTCTCTGTATCAAACTTTCTAATCAACAGAAAATTACATATAAGTCTCTCAAGTCAATAGGAATAATTCTACAAAGTAACGTGGGACTCACTGGACCATCTGCACCAGGAAATGAGTGATGCAGGGCTGAGAAACAGCCCACGTATGTGTGCACCAGAACGTACCCAGTCACCCCTCACGAGGAACTCCCAGGGTTTCAGCTTGGCTGTTTTGTCCACTCTATTGTACAACAAACATCTCTTTATATACCCTTAAGTGCACCTGCATTTCTATGAAAGGTGAGGAGGGGTAGTGTTGAATACCTTCTTGTGTATTCACTAAACTTGTGGATTATCTTCTGTGATTTGCCTACTCATATTTCTATTTCTCTTGGGTTCTTGTTTCCTCAAGAGTTAACATGAGTTCTGTTAATTAAAGTTACTACTTTTATTGGTCAATACTGGTTGCAAATATATTCTACAATATGGTAGCTTCTTCTAGATGAAAATTTAACTTTTACACAAATTTATCTCCTTCTTCAGGTTTTGAGTTTCCCATCTTAATTAGTGGTCTGTCCACATTCTTCAGTTATTTCAAAAAACTTAGCATGTGGGGAGGAATACGTTGTTTTAAATTTCTGCAAGTTTACATGTGCTCTTATTTATTATTTATTTATTTAATGTCTTCCACATACAGTTAGCTCTATCCTTATTTCTGATACTTATATTTTTGCTTTCTTTGGTTGTTTTTTGAGACGGGGTCTGGCTGTATAGTTCAGGTTGGCCTTGAACTCACTACATAGCCCAGGCTGGCCTCCACCTTACAGTGATCCTCCTGCCTCAGTTTCCCAAGTAATGGGATTACAGATGTGCACCACCACACCTAGGTATTTTTGCTTTTTAATCAATTCAGTAAAAGATTTGTTTTCGTTTTTATTTTATAAGGGTCAGCTTTAATATTTATAATTTTTGTGGTATCAGGGATCTATAACATTTATAATTTTTAATTTAATAATTTCATGAATTTTAACTTTGTTTCCTACTTTCAAATTTCTTCTACTTTCCTACTTCCTTAAAATTATCATATTAAGCCAGGCGCGGTGGCACATGCCTGTAATCCCAGCACTGAGGAAGCGGAGGCAGGAGGATTGCTGTGAGTTTGGGATTAGCCTGGGCTACAAAGTGAGCTCAAGGCCAGCCTGAACTGCATAGCAAGACCCTGTCTCAAAAAGAAAAAAAAAAAAAATTATTACTATATTAAATCCATTTTAGCCTTCCTTGAAGAATAAATGCATTTCAGGCAACATATTTTTCTGAGTTTGAGTTTTTCAATGAGAGTTTGGAGTAAAATATTTTCCTATTTACTGTTAGAACTTTTATTTATTTTGGGGATGCGGGAAATCAAACCCAGGGACTCATCCATGGTAGACAAATGCTCTACCACAACTGAGTCACACCCTTGGCCTCATCTATGTATGTATGTATGTATGTATGTATGTATCTATGTCTTTTTGAGATAGGGTTTCACTATGTATTTCAGGCTAGTTTTAAATTCACTTTGTAACCCAAGCTGGCCTCGAACTCTCAGAGATCCTCCTGCTTCAGTCAGGAGTTTTGGGATTACAGGCATGTGCTACCATGTCTGCTCCATATTTATTTTTGATCAAAAGAATATTTAGCAGCAAGAAACTAGTACTTTTGTAATGTTATTTTTTAAAAAAGTTTGGTTATCAGCAAAGAATATTATCACTGTAACTCTTGTATTTGCTCATGTTTTCTCTCTATATAATTTATTTAAAAAATGCTCAATGGATGCTGAGTGTGGTGGTACCTGCCTTATAACCCCAGCAGTTGATTAGGCGTAGGCAGGAGGATCATGAGTTTGAGGCCAGTCTGGACTACACAGTAAGTTCAAGGCTAGTGTGGACTATACAGACTCAAAAAAACAGTCCAATGGAGATATGAAAAAACAAATTAGCTTTTTATGAATTTAAAGTTCATATGCTAATTAAATCTAGCTTGTTTTCTAATATCCTCCTGCCTCAGTCTCCCAAGTACTAGAATTACAGGCACGCATCATAGCACCAATGTGTGATTTCTTAAAATTATCTTTGCTCTTTTTCTCTTTTGTTTGTTTTTTGAGACAAGGTCTCGCTGTGCCCAGGCTGGGCTCGAGTTCATGGTGATCCTCCTGGCTTATCCTCCTGAGTGCTGGGATTATAGGTGTGTACCACCATACCAAGCTGTCTTTGTTCTTCTTAGGCCATTTAGTCTCCCATGTAAATTTTAGAACCAGCTTGTCAAATAGCAGAAAAAAACTCTTTGAGATTTTGGTAAGAAATGCACTAAGTTTATGCACTAAAGGAATCACCATCTTTCCAATCCTGAATCTTGTGAACGTATAGTGGTATGTGCATTTGCTTTTTTCTTTTGTCTTTTTGAGATAGGGTCTTGCTATGCAGTTCAGGTGGGCCTTGAGCTCACTTTGTAGCTCAGGCTGGTCTCAAACTTGCAACAACCCTCCTGCTTCAGCATCCCAAATGCTGGGATTACAGGCATGTGCCACCACACCCGGCAGTATATGCATTTGGAAATTCACTAATGCCATTCAATAAAATAAACTGTTTAGGCTGGGCTCACACTTTTGAGGTTGTCTCAGCCTCCCAGAACGCTGGACTGCAGGTATGTGCCATCCTCCCAGCAAGACCGACTTTAAGGCTGGCTCACACACTTCAGATGCTACCTACCTGACACATACCTCCTGTGCTCAGAAAGAGCATGTCGATGGATGGCAGGTGGTACAGATTTAAACCAAGGCCTTGTATACACTGAAGATGTGCTCTCCCACTGAGCTACATCTGAGCCTTAAGAATGAAAACTTTTGTTTTGTTTTTTTTTCCTGGTACTGGGAATCGAACTCACGACCTTGCACTTGCCAGGTAGGTGCTGTGCTGCTGAGCTAAAGCTGTGCCCAGCCCCAAGAATCAAACCTTTTAAGAGACCATGTCTAACAATACCAAATATCTGTTTGGATGCCCAATTCTATCCTTTCATCTGTCTTCTCTTCTTTATCAGGGCAGCACTGGACCCTGCTTCCATCATTCTTACGACCTCTACGCGCATCAACAGAACTGCTGTCATGGAGACCACTCCCATTACCTGTGTCAGAGCTTGGATACTTGCACTGATGTCACCACTGGCTACTTGGGAGATAATGAAATTGATTGTGGATGCTGTATTACTGTGCATATCATCAAAGTGTGGAGACACAGCTCGGATCCTAGACAGCAGAGCAAAGGGAAAAGTTCAACTGCTATTACAAAATATCCCAGTAAGTGCAAATTACAGTTTCCTACTAGATTCAGGTCTTAGTAAAAGATTGCCATTTGTCAGACAGTAGTCAGTTTTAAAAAGTTTGTTTTTGCTGGTACTAGGGAATGAACCCACTGCCTTCACATTGTACTACATCCCCAGCCCTGCAGTGTTTTTGAGACTGAATCACCCTAAGTGGCTAAGGTGCCCACACTGGGCTTCAACTTGGGATTCACCTGCCTCAGCCTCCCAGAGTACTGGCATTACACCTGTGTACCACTATGCCTGGCAAGCCTAAGAAGTTTTAACTGCACACTCTCATAGAGTGCTTTTGTTTGGTTTTGTTTTGCTTGAGAAAGGGTCTTGCCTGGCCTTGAACTCACTATGTAGCCCAGGCTGGTCTCCAACTCACGGTGATCCTCCTACCTCAGTCTCCCAAGTGCTAGGATCACAGTCCTGTACTACCACATCCAGCCTGATTTTTTTTTTTTTTTTTTTTTTTTTTGAGTCAGGGTCTTGTTGTGTAGCTCAGGCTGGTCTTGAACTCACTATGTAGCCCAGCCTGGCCTTGAACTTGTGATGATCCTCCTGCCTGTCTCTAGAGTGCTGGGATTATAGGGGCGTGCACCACCACACCCAGCTGTCCAGAGGGTTCTTTTTAGGTATGTACTCTGATGATCATGAACTACTTATATTTGTATGAACAAGTTGGACTTACTTGGGCTCAGGAATAAGAACTGGTTCAAAAATGTCATCTAGCTTATGCTGGACAAGTTCTGGCATTTCACATCGAACTGTACCATTGTCATTCTCAATCTCATCAAGGTCCAGCTGGAATTCTCGGCGAACCATCTGGGTGGCCTCAGGATGCCCACTCATGCCTCGGGCTTGGCTAAGGGAAGCAAAAGAAGACCCCTGAACTAAGACACCTTTCTCAACCACAGGGCAAGAGCAGCACTGCCAGGTCCCTCAACACTTCAAGACAGATGTTCAACTTCTGGTTTCAGCCCCCCTGAATGGTTGAAGTCCTTGAGTCTAAGAAAGTGCTAGAGGCAACAGTATCAGTTCAGTATATTCTTAGAGAGCAGCTAACTCTAACATGTACTACATTACCAGCCAAGTCATAAATATCATCTCTAATTCACTAGTGCTGATACACCTTTTACTTCTATTTTAGAAGGGACGGAAAATAAAGTATATTTATAGTGACACAAAGCTCAATACTCATGGAAAAAATGTAAGAAAAAATATAGACTAGCTGTTTTTTTCCTACAAATTAATCAGTGTTTATGTTTTTATAATCATAAGCATCACGTCAAGCAGTGCTCAGTACATTTTGTACTTTGAAGGGCAGACACATCCTTTTAAGAACAGTTAGTCTTAACAGGTCAGGGCCAGCAGTATATCTCAAAAAATAGATATGCAAAGTTTCCAAATTCAAATTGGTTAAAATTATATTCATGACACCAACTCAAAATAGAGCTGTGTTGCTTAGAAGGCAGAATTTTGAGTCCCTAAGCCAATTCTGGGCTGCATGCATTTTACTTTGTCTTATCTCAAGAACAGAACTTAAGGACAACCAAACAGCATCCAAGGAAGAGGGCAAATCAATGCTTTAGCTTCATGACATTGAGCTGCCATTCCTGCTGGCCAATGGACTCTCCTGGGAGGCACGATATTTATGGACATCCTCTACCTTGCTGTAACTCTAAGCCAGGCACCCACCAGAGGGGATGAATCCATGTCAGAAGTTAGAAAGATATAAGAGCCCTGCTAATGAGAAATTAGCAGGCAGTACTTACATCCTATAAGTGCGATACATAATTCTGTCCACGGAAAAGCAGTGAAAGAAGGCACAAGACCATTTAGAAGTGGTTTTGAGACAAAGACAAAGACACAATGAATACTGGAAGATTAACATCTGGTTATGTGACATTTACCCAGACACCCTCTTGTGCATGGTAATGACTATGAGAACTCAAGATTATGTTATGGACAACCTCTGAGCATACAAAGCTAAGTCCACAGAGACGCTCTCAGACACCATTTCCAGCCACATACTTGAGCTTGGAGGACATGTCGTCAACCGGGCCCTTGCGCAGCATGTTGGCATTGGAGGTCGTGTTCTGGGTGCGCTGTGGTTTCTCTTCTACCTGTTTCACTGGTGCAGCAGAGGGCCTCTTTGCTGACCGCTTAATTCTCTCCTCAAGCATGCTCATATCCTTTTCAGAAAGCTATAAAAAGAGGCCACAGTTAACTTATTAGAACATCAACCTACTAAAATGTGAGGACAATGTGAAACCTAATTATAGGACTCAAGCATGGTCTATTTTCATACTGAAGATAATAGAAGCTATCGTGTTAAGACAAGTTTACTTTCAAAACACTTTACTGTTAAATACTATTTGTTAATGCCTGCCTGGCTATAATAATTATTATTATTATTATTTTTTTTCCGGTACAGGGGATCGAACTCACGACCTTGCGCTTGCCAGGCAGTCACTGCGCCACTGAGCTAAATCCCCAGCCCCGAGGCTATAACAATTAGAGAATACATAAAAGAAGAAAAAGATACAAAAGGACTATTTTAAAAAGGCTATTATGGGTGTGGTGGTGCACGCCTGTAATCCCAGCACTTAGGAGGCTCAGGCAGGAGGATCATTGCAAGCTCAAGACCAGCCTAAGCTACATAAGTGAGCTCAGGGACAGCCTGAACTGCATAGTGAGACCCTGTCTCAAAAAGACCAAAAAAAAAAAAAAAAAAAAAAAAAAAAAGGCTATTCATATAATTTGAAAGGTCAAAAATTAAATGAAGTTTATATGTATTTTGTTATTACTAAGTAGATGTGTGACTACGGCAAGAATCTTCACCTTTGGTCATCTGTAAAATTCCTACCAGCTTCATCTCCTCATTAAGTGATAGCGAGGATTTGATGAGATAGTATAGATAGAATGAGTCAAGCCCAGTATGTGCTACGATGAGCTAACTGCAATGAAGGACAGAGTTTAGCTGCAGCAGTGACTGGCTCAGAGGAAGCAAGGAGTCAGAGGCAGAACCTAATGTGCCCAGGACAAGGGGTTCGTGACTGCAGCTTGAGGCTCTTTGGGTATGACTGGAATCAGTATCCACTCTGTCCCCAAGGGAGAACTTGTTAACTGAAGACCAAATGCATTAAAAATTACAGAGCAGATTGCCACAAAATTTAAACACTATGGTAGCTCAGATTTCTTGATTCAAAAATAGCTTTCATGTCTAAAGCAAATTGCTATGAATAGGAATGTTCAGAAAAGAAAATTTGATTTCCAGTAAAACACAGCCCAAATGTCCTACAATAATCAGAGATGCATTAAGCACCTATTTGGATTCTAGGATATATTTATGGGTTGAATTTACCAAAAAGTGGTAAAAGTTAGGTACAGGAAACCCCACCATTAAGAATCTTGGAATTCTTTTCACAGCATGCACATAATGCCCAGGGGAGAGACACTCACATTTCCAATGAGTTTGAACACCTGATCTCCATGGACATTGTATACTGTGACGATAGTGTTGAGAGCAGCATTGCGGACAGCATTGTCTCGGTCGCCTATGTGAATAGCTATCTCCTTTAAGGCTTTTCCTGGGGTTGGCTGGCAAACGTTCATGCCATAGGACTCCACCAGACACCCTAGCTCCTCCAAGCACTCTGTTGGGGGAAGAAGGCAAGATGATGAGGTAACACACTGGCATAGCAGCCTCTCTTTACTACATAAATCTCCTTTCACATACATCAAGGACTAAATCTTGTTCTGGCTCTGCTTAGAACTGCTCTTCTACACACCATTTTACCACAGAAACAATGATGTACAGCAAGTGCTCCTGAAAGCAAGGCATGCCTGTGAGTCAGATGGCCCCTGTGCACTTGATTTTGTCACCAGGGTGATACTGAGTGGTGCCTGTATCACCTGATACCATGGCCCCACCAGTGTGCAACTCATCACACTCACAGTCTAAATCAGAAGGTGGGAACCAGCTACATAGACATGAAAGAAATATCCTCGTTCGTCAGCACTACAGGAAAATATGTTTGCTTTACCTGCTCTCTGCTTAGAGTTTTTGGACTTGGTTCCTTCCATGACAAAGGGGAACATCTTGCTGGCTGGGTAGACAAGGCACATCCGGTTCAGGATGGCACGAACGTCTTTCCGAATTACATCTTTTGGCTCTCCAACCTAGTCAACGAGGAGAATGATGAGAGCTTTGCTGAGCAGTAATGGTCACCACGTGCATAACTGTATCTTGAAAGCAAGGGGCATGAAGATGAGTGGTGGGACACTCAAGGAAGAGGAAGAACGCTCACAAAAGACAAGAATGCACACAGAAGAGGAAGAAGGAAAGAGAGGGTAGGAGCTGAGGTCAGCAGAGAACTTAAGCGGGTCCCAAGATGAGAAGAGTGCATTCATTACCTTGAGGATGAGATAGGGGATGAAAGAAGATGCTTCGTTTTCAGTGAGATGATATTCCTCCTCACTTAGCAGCGTAAAGAGCAATTTTAAATATTCTAGTGCTTTCATTAGGACACTTGTATTGGTGTCAAAAAACCTCAGGGTAAGCCATTTTAAGATAAGGTCCAGGCAACCAATGACACCTTCTTTTTCACTCTCCAAGTGCTTAAAACAAAACAAAACAAAAATACCACAAATAAGACTGTAAAAAAGCTTTACGTTTATCTAGAAGTACTTCTTAAATTTTACTGGAGCCCAAAAGGTAATGACAGATTCTGAAGTATTTAGTCAAGGCCTAAAAAATACCCATAATCACTTGGCTAGTCAAATAAGACAGCTCTACCAAGAACATGGTATACTCCACTTCCTACTAAAGGAATGGAACCTTCTCATTACTTCAGAGCACTTGGTATTTTTGCAGGCCTCAGAAACACACATATTCATCCATCATAGACTCACATCGACCATGACAGCCAGGGCTTTATTGTGGTGCTGAAAATCTGAATGAAACATCTCATCTTGTAACCACTTAGCCACACAGCTAGACATCTGAGTCTTCAGTTGTTCAATGTATTCATCCCGTGGGGTGGTAAAATTCCATTTCAGCACCTGGAAAAAAACAGTGAGATGGGGCTGGTTATAAAGTGTTCAAATGAAATGAAGCAGTCTTATTTAATGTAGCTACAAGACTCAATAGGATATTTTTAAATTAAACAAGATTAATTTGCAATTAAATGAGAAGCATATTTCTGGAAACCTAACAATTGGAAATCTTTTTGCTGTTGTTTTGTTTTTTGAGACAGGGTCTCACTATGTAGTTCAAGCTGGCCTCAAAATGCGGTGATCCTCCTGCTTCAGCCTTGTGAATGCTGGGATTGCAGGTGTGCAACACCATTTCTGGCTTGCAAATCTTATAGGAAAAGAATTTTGAGCAATTCTTACCACAAAAATCAAAGCTGTAATTGCTTTGTACAGTGGACAATGTTGGTACAATTTTAACACAGGAAAAACATAGAATATCTATCAAAATTAAAAATGCAAGGCCAGGGACAGCTCAGTGGCAGTGCCTGCCTGGCAAGTGCAAGGTCCTGAGTTCAATTTCCAGTACCAAAACAAACAAACAAACAATTCTAGGAGTACACACACACACACACACACACACACACACACTTATATTCAAAGACCTATATTTATTTAATGTTCTTGTAGAAGCATAGTCTGTAATAGTGAAAGACTAGAGGCAACCTAAATGTTTAAGCTAGTGGATTGGGAGCAGGGCATGTGCTGTTCGCCTGTAATTCCAGCACCTGGGAGGCTGAGCAGGAGGATGGCCATGAGTTTGAGGCTAGCCTGGGCTACACAGTGAGTTCAAGGTCAGCCTGAACTGCATGGCAAGACCCTGCCTCAGAAAACAAAAACAAAAAACAGATAATGGACTGGTGATAAGGGTACATACATATAAAGTACCAATAAAAAGAATGACACACATGCATACAAAAATGTATTTCAAAATTAGACACAAGACACTGGACAAAGAATATATATGGCATGTTCCCATCTGTGTAAAAGGAGGGCTTTTCACACACACACACACACACACACACACGTGTATACACATGAAGTATTTCTGGAGCAATATGAAAAAAAGGGGGTAATAGCAGCTTCCCAGTGAAAGGAGACCAAAGCGGGAGACATATGGGAGATATGCTTTTCATATTTGGTTAATGTACTATATTCCATACTTTTTAGATTGATTTTTTTGTTAAAGCAATGTATGTATTTTAGGAAATAAAAAACTTATATTGTATAACAAAACCAAAAAACTTAAATTATTCTTGTTTTATCTTTGCATGCTTGGGACTGAACCCAGGGCTGTGTGCTATGTAAGGGCATCTCCACTAAACACGCTCCAGCCTACAAGAAGTGAACGAACAAGTCAGGAAACAGCCCCTGCCTGTGTTCTCTGATATCATATACATGGAAGATTAAAGCAGCAGCCCACTGCACTATGTCCAGCTGATAAAGACTGATGAATGATATTCATTCTTTGATTTTTAAAAATAAACACAACAAAACTCTAAAAGAACCAGTTCATTAGTAAAGATGTCACATTATGTATTGAGGGCAGCAAAACTATTTTTTATTTTTAATTTCATTGCCTTTCTTTACTACGTTTTTTTTTTTTTTTTTTGGTCTGTCTTTTTGAGACAGGGTCTTGCTGTGCAGTTCAGGCTGACCTTGAGTTCACTTTGTAGCCCAGGCTGGCCTCGAACTTGCAATGATCCTCCTGCCTCAGCCTCCCAAGTGCTGGGATTACAGGTGTGCGCTACCATGTACAGTTTTACTAGTTTTTGAAACTTGTATTTCCTTTTTTTAAAAAATTTTTTGAGACAGGGTCTTGCCATGTAGTCCACACTGGCTTGAACTCAGGGCGGTCCTCTTGCCTCAGCCTCCCAAGTGCTGGGACTACAGGTGTGTGCCACCATGCCTGGCAATGAAACTATTTTTGATTAACAAAATAAAACAAACAAAAAAACTCCTGAAGATTTTTGTCCCTTCCTTACCTTTAATCCCTTTTCATCTTTTATCCTTTGCTCTTTTCCATTTGGAACAATGATAAAAATGGGCCCAGATTTGTCTTCATCTTCCTTTATGTTGGTTTTGCCTGGTGCTTTTTTTCCTTGTGTACTCTACAACCAAAGTTCAGAGAATACTTGTTAGCTAAGCCACTCCTCCTCAGAAGGATGAGTGAAAGGACATTATACAAACCAGAGATGCCTTTCTCTTAGAAACAGATGAGCCACAGCATCTTGCTCTAACGTTCTTGCATGGGTTCTCTAGAATGTTTCTAACAGTATTCTTCAGTAACCTCTGCGTAGTTCTTGGGCTGGCAAAGATTATAGCTAGAAAAGCCACTACCCCCATTAGTCTAGATCACCAATTATTTTTGCTTATTGGATAGTTTGTTTCTTTCTTGAAAAATTCAATATAACTTATACCTTTCCATGTTACACATTTTAAATGGCCTTTATGTATTTCATAGCACTTAGTTGAGGAAGTCCCTTTGTTTCTCTCCATACTTACAGTATCTCTACCACTAAAGCCACAGAGCACCTGGTTATGGACAAAGTTGCTGGAATACTTCAGTGCATCCCCTACCCAGGAGCACTCTACCACTGACCTACATCTCTTGCTGTTTATTTTTTATTATGAGACAAGTCTTGCTATGTTGCCTAGTCTGGTCTCCTACTCATGATCTTCCTACCCTAGCCAGTGCCAGGTTCACAGATGTGTGCCACCGTGCCTAGTAATGGAAAGTGGTTTTAAAAAAAATTCAAAATTTAGAATCTTTGAATCAGATGAAAAGAAAATAGTGAACACTGGTACTTTTGTTTAACGTAAAAGATGAATTTCATTATTGGAATTATCATTATTTTTGTAGCAAAAGTTTATTATTTCTACTTGGCCAGAATTTGTTCTTTCTAGTCCAAACACTGAAGTCATTCAGTCAAAACAAATATGAGCTCATTTATGTGAAATTACTCTGCAAACTGCAAAAAGATGGAAAATAATTGTGCCATTAAGAACAGAGTCAAAAATACTTCAAAGCACTTGTGATCAAAATACTAAAATAAGCACTTGCTCAATTTGGGATGAGGACAGGAAGGACAGGAAAAGAAAACAACATCATTGGACAGTTTAGAAGATAATTACCCACTTAAATTAACTCAGAGAGTTAAAGCGCTAAAGCATAGGGCAGAAAAATGAGTAACTGTAATACTTAGAAGAATGTGTGCAATGCGTACAGTCTATGATGGAAGTACTGAATAATAAGTATTCCCACTCTTACATATTTTCATTGGTTATATGCAGTAAATCAAACAATTTACTCCATTTAGATTTACTAATACGCTTGCTATTCATCGTTTACATGGGAACATTTGTCTTCAAAACATACAACTCTGCACAGATACTGAAAGGAATAGTAATTCAAGTTCCACTTGTATGAAGACAAGCTATTTCCCTGTGGACTACTCAGAGCACCTTTTAGTATGACAACTTAATTAAACCAAACTGGAAGGAAGGCGAGATTACCCTTCTCTCAAATCCAAATCGACTTAAACTATTCATTCTGCCAGAACTACTTACGCTTCACATGTTTGTGCACTCCTACAAGTCTTCCCAACAGATCTGTATGATAGGACCATGTGAACCCTCATGAAAACAAGGGGTCTTACTAAAAACAGGCCACAGAAATGTGTACAAATATTTAATATTTGATATTATCAAGAGTAGTGAAGTTCCTTCTTCTACAGTATGAACTTTTATTAACAGAATGAATCAGTGTGTAAAATATATGTGAAAGCATATCTACATGTATGTACACACAGATAACACACCTTTGCTTTAGAGGAGACTCCTGGAACTTTGACCTTTTTCAGATCAGGTTTGGCTTCTACAGTGCTGGAAACAGAATCTTCAACAGGTGCTTTAAGGAAAAAAAGCATGTACTATAATTTATTCTGGGCAGGTTAAACATATAGTAATGATAAGAAAGTCTGGTGGTTAAAAAATTTAAAAAAATTTTTTGGTACTGGGGATTGAAACCAGTACAGGGTCTGTGCACTAAGTTACCTCCCAGTCTGTTTCAAAATTTCATCTGATATAAGGTCTCACAAAGTCATTAAAGTCATTTTCCAGGCTGGGCTTGAACTTGAAACCTCCTGCTCAGCTTCGCAGAGTGCTGGATTATAGAAAGGTACTACTAGGCCTGACTGAAAGCCTACATATAGTTTTAAGCGTATTAATTCACAAGGTGCTTTGTTTTCTTTTGTTATTTTGGTATGGAGCATTGAACCAAAGACCTCATGAAAGCTAAGCATCTACTACTGAGCTATATCCCTCACCCTTTGTAAATTTTGAGAGGCTCCACTGCTTAGTCTGGCTTTAAACTCATAATCCTCTTGCCTTAGCCTTCCAAACTGAGATTACAGGTATGTACCGCCACCCCTGGTAGTTTTTTTCTTTTTTGGGGGGTAAGAGGGGGTACTGGGGATTGAACCCAGGGTCTTGTGAATGCTACCTGGATGGTCTTCAACTGAGCTGCAGCCCCAGCCCCAGCCCCAGATGTTTTCCCTAGCTTCTCTCCATTCTTCTTTAAATGTAACAGTAAGATGTTATTTCAAAAAAGCTACATTTCCTATAACAATATTTAAATTGAAGTTTAAAAATTATTTTCTAAGTAGCAGTTTTAAAGAAAGCATTTTTTTGCCAGATTAATACTTGCTTAAGGGGAGGACTGTCACCTCTCAGATTCATTATTTTCTACAAAACAAGATCCAATAAATGTTAAAATTACATAAGTACTTTGATACCAAGAATTTTACACACACACAATTTCTAACCTTATAAAAAGCATCAACTGGGGCTGGGGATTTAGCTCAGTGGCACAGTGCCCGCCTGGCAAGTGCAAGGTCGTGAGTCTGATTCTTGGTACCGGAAAAAAACCCAAAACCAAAAAAACAAAACAAAACAAAAAGCATCAACTATTCACGCCCCACTGAACAGAAAAATACTGTGTTTAAACACAATGTCTAGAAAATGAAGTTTTTACAGGCTATACATTATAGCCTTTTAACATCAGAATGAAGATATCAAGGACCTTCCCTGAAAGAAGATTAGTTGGGTCTCGGGATGTAGCTCAGTGGTAAAGTGTATGCTCAGCATTCATAAACCCTTGGACTTACTCCTCAGCATCAAAAAACCTCCTTAAAACAAGGTGACAAACAAACCAATAAACCAATAAGAACAAAAATAACCCCCCCCCCAAAAAAAAAACCAACCAACAAACCAACAAACATTAGGATGGCTCAGCAAACAGACAAGTGTGGTTTCGGAAGAATTCATTTGTGACTAAGTATAATTTTAGGCTGGTTTAAGCACTGGCTGGCTATTTGACTTTGTAAGAGTCATTAGTTTTTTTGTTTCCTCATCTGTTAATAAAACGCATTAAGCTAGATAATCCCAATTCCTCTTCTAACTAGAATATTCAAGAGAAAATAGCTGTGGGAACCTTAAAAACAGAATGGAATACTTCAGAAAGGACTATTTCAGTTTCATTTTGTTTTGTTTTTCCTTTTGATTGGGAAGGAGTATTTCAATGTGTTATATCCGAACACCTTTGTGGACCTGGAAACCAAAGTAATTATCTTATCCCTTTAGCACAGTTCTTAGTATAAAATAAGTACTTGACAATTGTTTGAGGAAAGAGGGAAGGAGAGAAGGACTGGCATCTAAGCTTCAGAAAAGTGGTAAGAAGAGGACAGATAGATACTATTTTAGAATTACCTCAGGCTACTTCCTTCCCTGTCCACCCTCTCAAAATAGTTACCTGATGTTGGCTGGAATCTGGCTGGGGCTGACCCTCCCACTGGCTTGGATGTTGCTTTAGCAGGTGCAGTGGGCTTAGCTGGCATGTTAGCTTTGGCTTTCTCCAGCATGGCCAGTACTTGATCTTTAGACGTTGGCTGGAGAGACAATGTAACAGAAGAGGGACATGATGTGAATGCTGCATTTATACTAAGCTTACATTTGTCAAACACATGATTGAGCTCTTAGTCTTGAAATAACAACAAAATAAAGGCAGCAGCACGTAATGCAAGAGAACTAGCACACATTATGAAGTCACCCTGAAGTAACTATCATTCTAGAAGGTCACAGTTCTCACCCCATGGAGTGAGCAGACTTACAGAGGGTCTACAGTGCTAAATATTTTATTTTGGTCTCATTAGGTTAATGAGACTTGAGATTTCAAATTGAGTCTTATTGTAGATAATATATTTTTTACTTATATAAATTCATGTTCAAGCTTTAAACGGTTTTAACAGCAACAGCAGCAACAAGAGGTGGTACCTTTAGTTTCCCAGTAGCCTTGGCCATTTTTTCATAGCCTAAATGCATCATGAAGAATGGCAAAGCATCTTGGGCCTTCTTTCGCACATCTCCATTTCGATCTTCTAGGCAGGAGTAGAGATGAGGAACACAGAGAATTAGATCTTGGGGCGTGGAACGAAGCGTAGGTAGTTTCTCAGCCAGCCAGCCCAGCAGCTGCCAAAGGAAATAGAGACTGGTCATATGCTTCAAGTGGAAATTTGTTATTATTTGTGATCTGGGCATTAAATTATAAAGCTCTAATAGTTCTTAAGTTTTATTAATTATAGATTCACTTGCAATTATAATATAGAAAGATCCCAAGCATCTTTACCCAATTTCCTTCATCAGTAATACTTTAAAAGCTCTACCTATTCTATCTTCCAACAGATTTAAGGTCTCTGATTCATTTCAATTTTAGTTTATATATATAATTTCACACAATACTATCAAGGATGTGCTAACAGATCTGAATAGTTCCTATCACAAAGGCTCCTCATGTTGCCCTTTTATTTATTTTTTTTTTTTGTCTTTTTCAAACAAGGTTTTACTATGTAGTTCAGGCTGGCCTTGAACTCACAGTGATCCTCCTGCCTCAGCCTCCTGAGTGCTGGGATTACAAATAGGTGTCCCCCTCACCAGTTGCCCTTTTATAACCACCCCTATCCCTCTTCCTGCCCCTTCCTCTGTTCCCTGGCAACTACTACTTGTTCACCATTTCTAAATATAAATGGAATCAAGCAGTATGTCTGGGATTGATTTTTGTGTGCAGCATAATTCCTTGGAGACTTAAATTGTTGTATATATCATTTTTATTTTTTTTTTAAAGACAGGGTCCCACTATGTAGTTCAGGCTGGCCTTGAACTCACAATGTAGAGCCCAGGTTGACTTTGAACTTGCAGCAAACCTCCTGCCTCAGTTTCCTGAGTGCTAGGATTACAGGTATGTGCCACCAGGTCTGGCTTCAGGTAGTCTTTTGTAGACATAAACTTTTTAATTTAAAAATGTTTACATCCTTAACCTTGAAGGATTTAATTTTGATGTGATCCAATTTATAAGGTTTTCCTTTTATTTGGTCCTTGTTTTGTTTTGTTTTTTGAGACAGGGTCTCACTATGTAGTCCAGGCTGGCCTCGAACTCACAGCAGTCCTCCTGCCTCAGCCTCCTGAGTGCTGTAATTATAGGTGTGCACCACCATGCCCAGCTACGGGCTGTGTTTTTATTTTGGATTTTTATTTTTTGTCTTTTCGACAAAAAATGTAGTTCATTATGCAGTTCAGGCTGGCCTTGAGCTCACTTTGTAGCATAGGCTGGGTCTCAAACTCTCAATGATCCTCCTGCCTCAGCCTCCTGAGTGCTGGGATTATAGGCATGTGCCACCATGCCCAGCTGGGCCATGTTTTTAGTCTAAAATTACTTTCCGGTCCTGTATGATTTTGTTATCTTCTAAAAGTTCTACAGTTTATGTTCTACATTTAGGTCCAAGATCTGCTTTATTATTAGGGATTAAACTGAGGGTCTTGCACACACTAGGCAGGAATTCTACTACTCAGCTACATTCCTAGCCCCAGATCTATTTTAATTTTATATAAGATGTGAGGTTTAAGTTGAGGTTCACCTTCTCTCTCTATGGATATCTAGTTGCTCCAAATCATTTGATGAAAGGCTACCCTTCCTCCACAGATTTAATTTGTAACTTTGTTTAAAATTAGTTGATCACATTAATCGGGATCTGGTTTTCTTTCTTGTTCCACTGACTTATGTATTTACTGTCATGTTGCCCTCTTCTCACTGGTATCAGTTGTCTTGATTATGTTAGCAATAAAGTCAGCCACAATGCACAGTAGAGTGACTCCTCCAAATGTTTCCTTCTTCATCAAGGTTGTTTTAGCTATCCTAGGGCCTGTGCCTTGCAATATAAATTTTAAAATAAGCTTGTCCGTGTCTATAAAAAAATCTTGCTGGACTTTTGACAAGAACTGCATTAAATTCATAGATGGTGAGAGAGAAAGTTCTTACTATGTCAAGTCATCCATGCAACATGTCTCTCTATTCAGGGTTTTGAATTCTTTTATCAGTATTCTACAAGTTTCTGTATTTGTTAAGTTGTACATACACTGAGGGGCTTCACTTGTTTTAAAGTAGCAAATGGTATTTTTTTTTAACTGTGGTTTTCTTTTTTTTTTGTCTGTTTTTTTTTTTTGAGAAAGGGTCTCAACATGCAGTTCAGGCTGGCCTTGAGCTCACTTTGTAGCTCAGGCTGGTTTCAAACATGCAATGATCCTCTTGCCTCGGCCTCCCGAGTGCTGGGATTACAGGCGTGTGCCACCACGTCTGGTTTAACTGTCGTTTTCATGTGTTCATGTTCATATAAAGAAATATGATTTTTACCTCTCCCTCACCTTATTTTGTAATGCTAGGGATTGAATCCGGGGCTTTACGAATGCTACAAGCATTCCATCCCTGAGCTACATCCTTAGACCAACATATAATTTCTGTGTCTTGAATATGATACATATTTTTGAGATGCTGGGGATTGAACAAAGTGTGATGATTTCGTATCTTCCAACCTTGTTGAACTCATTGATTAGTTCTAGTTTGTCTATAGTTTTTTTTTCCTTTTTGGTATCAGGAATTGAACTCATGACCTCAGGCTTGCCAGGCAAGCACTTATGCTGTTGAGCTATATCCCCAGCCCTGTCTAAAATTTTTTTTTTTTTGAGATAGGGTCTTGCCATGTAGCCCAGGCTCGCATGGACTCACTATATAGCCCAGGCTGGCCAGGCTGAACTTGCAGCAACCTTCCTGCTTCCACTTCCAAGTGCTGGGATTAGAGGTGTGCACCACCACACCCAGCCTCTTAAGATTTTTCTGTTGTACACAGTCATGTAATCTTTCATTTTGTTTCCTTGCATTACTGCAATAACTAGAACCTCTAGTACTATTTTGAATGACATTAAACAGCTGACATCTCTGCACTGTTTTCAGTGGGGTTCAGTCTTCTACCACTGTGATTTTATCTGTAGAGGGTTTTTTGCAGATATATTTGCTGAACTTGAGATAATTCTCTTACGTAACTTGCTCAGTTTTTATCATGAATGAGTGTTGGGCTCTGTCAAGTGCTTTTTCTACATCAACTGATATCATTATAGTCTTCTTCCGTTGGCATGATGGACTACACTGATGAAGTTTTATAAACGTTAAACTATTTTTATGTTCTGATTAAAACTTCTGATTATACCACTTAGGAGTTCAAGAAAAGAGAAAATTCCACAAAAAGCTAGTCTTCTAAAAGGTTTTCTTACAGAACCACAGGATTGGACAAAGAAGCACATAAACACAAAAGCTCCAGGAATTTGGTTTCATTTCTTTAAATTTTACAATAAAATTCATTTAACCATAAATATATATTAGATTGGCTCTAGCCCAGAAAGAGGTAAAGAAATGCAGCATGTGATTAATTTATAGTACTAACCTCTTGCCTCAAGAAAGGATTCTCCTTTTTGAGCTCCTCAGACAGATCTTCTCCCTCCAGCCATTCTTTCATGCCAGTCTGCTCTGCCCAGGCATTCACAGTTGCTAGGGCAGCAGCACGAACATTGTTCTGAATAGGGACAAGAATTGGCAAAATAATTATCAACTATAGCTGGAGTTTGAAGGTAAAAACTTCATTTTATGAATGTGAATAACAGAGGTTCCTCTAAGATCTACACAGATATGCTTGAAACTATCTTCTGTGAAACGGAAACTGGTTCTATCACTGTATAAAAATCTCTGAGGGAAAGTAGAACTATAAACCTAAATTAAAATCATGTAAGAGAGATAAACTTTATAATTTTTATTTTTTGAATACCCAAATAATCTATGACTATCTGCTAAAGAATGGGAGTTCTTCATGTTAGAGATCTCAAAATGGTTAAGACTAACTTGCTGGCATGGAGGGGAGCTCCGGCCTTTGGGCCAGACTCCAGCAGCACAGAAGCCCGGGAAGTGGGCTGCCTGCACCCGGGAAGCCATGTGGCGGGGAGCTCCTGTCGTTGGGCCAGACTCCAGCCGCACAGGCGCCTGGGAGACAAGCCGCCTGCACCTGGCAAGCTGCATGGTGGGGAGCTCTGGCCTTTGGGCCAGACCCCAGCCGCACAGGTGCCCAGGAGGTAGGCAGCCAGCGTCCGGGAAGCTGCGCGGCGGTGCACAGCCCAGTACCGCCACGCGGCTGAGAAATATCATGGCCCAGAGAAGCAATGACACAATTGGCCTGCCATGCACCAGCTGCGGAGGCCTGCCCAGGGATGTGTGTGTATCATCCCAACATGGAGAAACCCCTGGGAATACATGCCACACAATGGGTCGCTCTTGCCCCTGTCATTGAGAACCAGAAAGGTCCAGAGTCAGCGGAGGAGCAGCTGCTGAACAAGGACTCGGAGAACATGAGACTACAGACTACGCCTGAAGACTCAGAGGTGTAGTTGACCAGGATCACCAGAGCTGTTTGGAAGCTAGAAACCAGGAGGACCTTGCGCAATACCTGGGGAGACCCCCTGGAAGCCATTCTTCCCCTGACAGTACAGGCTGCATTGGAGGAGCGCATGGAGCTCCGGAGAGGTCTGCACAGAGATTCCTGCTGCCTGTGCTGATGGTTGGGGGAGAGGACACTAAGTGGTTGTGGGGTCCCAATGTGCTGGGAGACTGGAGAGAAAAAAGCTACAAAAAATGGCTTTTGCCCCAGAAGGCTCATTTGAGATGTTAGTAAGGATTGCCTCCTCAGTATTCTATAGCTGTGACGAGCAGGAGGCCAAGGAGAGAAAACAAAGAGACTGAGAAAAAGCAGCTGCTTTTGCTGCAGCATCAAGAGAAACAGACCCTAAGTCTGATTCTTGGGGCCCCAAGAAGAACTCGACAACTGCATTCATCTGCTACCACTGTTAAAAGCCAGGCCACCTCAAGAGGAATGGCCCTAAGAAGCCCCCTGGGCCATGCCCTGAATGCAAAGGTGACCACTGGAGATTGGTCTGCCCTCTGAAGCAGAGGCCCCAGAGCTCGGACCCATCCTACCAGTTAGTCCAACAGGAATGAGGGGGCCCGGGGCATACTCTGCCTTCTCCCTCTGGCCAGACCGTCCTCTCCATGGAGGAGTCCTGGGTAATCATGTCTATGGAGGAACAAGAAAACAGCCTGTTGCTAGACACAGGTGCAAGTCTCTCGGTCCTTCTTTTCAATCCTGGCCTTCCTTCCAGCCGTCACACCTCAGTGAAAGGAGTCACTGGTGAGGAGGTAATACGCTATTTTTGACAACCCTTAGGCTGTAACTACTTGTTAGATCTTTCTTGCATATCTGTCTTCCTGAGAAACCACTTTGAAGATACCACCATGTATTACAGCAGCCATTGATATTTTCCTACTAATCTGTTTATAACTCTGTAATGTTTATATTTTTCTTATGCTATTTTGTAAATGGATGTATGTTTATTACTATGTGTTTCCTACAGCAACCATTGAGAAGTCAATGATTATTCAATTGGTCACTCATGTATAGCCCTATTTATTTTCTTTAGAAACCACTTAGAAGATACCAAAGTACAGTACAACAGCCATTGATAATAACCTACCACTTTTGTCTATAGCTCACTATTATTCGTTTATTTGTTTTCCTGAGAAACTATCTTGTAGATAACAATATGTAAAACAACAACCATTGATAATTTCCTACCACTTTGTCTGTAATTCAATAAGCCCCCCTATTACTACATTATCCTTCTTTTACTCTTTAAAATTAAAAAAAAGACTAAAATTGCTAACCTTGCAAATATTTAAATTATGTTTTATATTAATGTGTATTTACAGAATGACACATTGATATAAATATTAGAAAAGTTCAATTCCTCAAGTTAAATGAATTACACAAAAATAGAGAAATTAAAGTACTTAGGGTGGGGCTAAGTATAAAAGGTGTGCTGCAACCCTCTACGACACTTCAGTGACTTCTATGACTGCGAAAGTACAGACATCTAACTGAACTACCAAAAGAACTTGCCCTAACAGTTCAGAGTGAAAAGATGAGTAGAAAGAAACTTCAAAATCCCCCAATTCATATAATTATTCACTACATCAAAACTTTATACAATGATGGTATAACCATAAACAGCAGCATAATACATCAAAGAGGAACAATACAATGTACAGACAGACACAATTTCTTAAGAAAGAAATTTCACAGATAAAAAAACCTGAACCTGAGCGAGGATAATCATGAAAGGGTCACAAAGCTAGTAACTGATATATTTAGTCACCTTAATACTACCTGGAATATAAACACGTTAATTCTTTCGAATAGTCTCATCTTTTTAAGCTTGTAAAGGTTTACATGTACTTTAGAAAAGAGAACAATCCTTAACTTGAGAATGTGACTGGCCTATTCCTGAACAGAGCTGTGATGAAAAGAGCTGGCTTACCTTGCTGTCCCCAAGGACTGTGATGATAGGAATGCCCAAGTTCTTTACGTGTTGCTTAATGTTTGGGCCCATGGCTACTGCCAGCTGCTGGAGGATATTCAGCGTCTGCTGCACCTGAATGGAAAAGCCAACGCTTTATGTTCAAACCACAGCAAGCTGCACTCAAAGGTTTTGCAAGACTGCTGTTATACAGTCAACACAGAAGATTTCTATGAGACAGGGAAATCACCTTGTTGTGATCTCACTCTAATTAGCTTATGAATAATTTTCAGGCCTTTTTTTCTTTGTTATTTTTTCTGTACTAAAGATTGAGCCCAGGGGTGCTCTAACATCAGCTGCAACCCCAACCCTTTGTTTGGTTTTGTCCTGTTTTAAAACAGGGCCTTGCAAAGCCAGCTGTGATGGTACACGCCTGTAATCCCAGCACTCGGGAGGCCGAGGCTAGTCTTGCAAGTTCAAGACTAGCCTGGGCTACAAAATGAGCTCAAGGCCAGCCTGAACTGCACAGTGAGCCCTTGCCCGCAAAAGAAAAAAAAAAAGACAGGGCCTTGCTATGCAGAGTAGGCTGGCCTTGAACTTTCAATCCTCTTGCCTCAGCCTGCCAAGTAGCTAGGACAGAAGGTCGGAGCTGCTGCACCTGGCTATGCCTTTTTATCATCAGTTCCCAAGACCATGTTATTAGAATGTCAGACCACAAGTCATACTACTCTACAATTTTATTTATTTATTTTTTACTTTACAATTTTAAAGTAAAGCCTTAAGTCTAAGAAAACTGACAAAAAAATCTAGATTAAAAAATTAGAAATTAAGTATGTTTCTATATATTACAAGTAGTTTCATACAAAGGTATTTAATATCAGATTCCTATATAAAGCAAATTTGGAAACTTACAAAAGCTTAATTAATAAATCTACATTATCCTGAGACACACTTCAGAAACTGTAAGAAACAATTTCTAGTTCAAAATAAAGTGATCACTAATTTTTGCTATTGAAAGCTGCACTGAAAAAGAGCCTTCTACATCAAGAGGACAGGGAGAGAAAGAAAAGGCACAGGGCTCTACGTACCAGGATTTTATTTGAATCATTGAGTCGACCTTTCAAGGCAGTTGGAAGTTCACCTATATTTGGTTGGATAAATTTTGCTTCATTGATAATACTTGCTACTTCATCTAGTCCTTCTTTTCTGATCTTCCAATTTTTGTCACCAATCTTAGACACCAACTCTGAGGTAATTTTATCACTGAAAATCAAGACATATCCTTTAATTCTAGACTACCAAAAGAATATGTCACAGAAGTTTCCTCCACTGAATTAAAAATAAGAAGGTACCACTAAGAATTTAGCACAATGAATCAAACTGTTCCTCAGAGTGAAACACGGAGTGAAACCTACCTGATCTCTGTCCTTGGCAAAAGATCAACAACATCATTGCCCCCGTCATCTGGTTCGTCTCCATCTTCTCCTTCATCAGTACCTGCTGTGCTGTGCTTGGAGAGCCCTCTGGTTGGGGTAGGTGGGCTCTGTCCCTGCATCTAGACACAAATGAGGAGGCTAATGAAAACGATGAGCATGACCGCGAACAGATTAGAGAGGGTACCTGTGTCCCATGTTCTCATTCCTTCACGGTACTTATTTATACAGTAGAGTTTTAAATTCCTACTTAGATTTTAATTTTGAGGTCACACGGCAAAAGTTATTTTCACACAAACTTTACAGGCTTTGATTTCTCAATCATGATGTTGTCTTTTGACTTGTATGCCCAATACAACTCAGAGAAAATCTATTAACACTGAGGAATCTCAGAAGTTATCCAAGGAGGTTCAACGCATTTTTTTCTCTTTACAAAAAAGTTATATTGAATATATTTTTTAAAAAGACATAAAGAGAAAAACCTCTCCTACACCACAGTTACCTAGTTATCTTCCTCACAAAGTCATCAATTTTTTATGAATTCTTCCAGGGACACTTTATACACATAAAAGTAAATGTGTGCATATTCTTTTTCTTCCCCAAGACAGCATCTCACTACGTAGTTCAGGCTGGCCTTGAACTCACTATGGATCCCAGCCTGGCCTCCAACTCATGGTGATCCTCCTACCTCAGCCTCCCAAGTGATGGGATTATAGGCCTGTGCCACCATACCTAGCAATTCATACATATTCTTTATTCCAAAGGTTTGACAAACACTGTTAGTCTTTAATACACAATTTCAAGTTCACCAGTTGGATTGTATCATTTGTGGATCTTTTACCTTCTCAAATTCTGCATCTATCTGTGACAGGAGGGCAGGCTTCTCATCCTCAAAGAACATTCTCAAAGAAGGACCAACATACAGATACATCACACCAAGTAAGGTGATGGCGGAAGTCCTCACAGCCTGCCGGAGAGAAGAAAAAGAACTTTCCAAATCAGAAGAGAGAGATAGCGGTAACTCTCCCATACTATATATGCTGGAATGTACTTACTGGGTTTGTAGCAGCAAGAGCGGTTTTCACATTACTAATGAAAGCTTTGACGTTCAACCTAGAAGAAACAACATGTATTTTCACAATATTCAACAGTATTTATAAAGGCAGCCTCTAGGATTGGCACCCTTTAGAGGAGTATAGTTTCTTTCCACACTCAATTTATTTATTTATTGACTGATTGACTGATTGATTGTCTTTTTGAGACAGGGGCTCGCTATGCAGTTCAGGCTGGCTTTGAGCTCACTTTGTAGCCCAGGCTGGTCTTGAACTCACAACGATCCTCCTGCCTCAGCCTCCCACAGTGCTGGGATTACAGGAGTGCACCACCACGTCCAGCTCCACACTCACTTTAAAGTGACCTTTTGACACAATTCAAACAACTGATTAATATTATTATGTTTAATTAAGGTTCCCAAATCCAGTCCTGAACTCTTAACTTCAGGTTCACGTACTCATCTGACTTTGTGACCCCTGCCACATACACCTTTTTTGTGATGCCAGGGATTGAACCCAGGGCCTTGCACATTCCAGCCAAGTGGTCCAGCGTTAAGCTACATCTATAATCCCTTACCTCCTTTTAAAATTTTGAGGCAGGGTCTCACTAAATTGCCCAGGATGGCCTTGAATCTGGTCCTCCTGCCTCAGCCTCTGCCACAGCCGTAGCTGGGATTATGGGAATGAGCCATGGTGTTTGGTGTGGCCTTTCCATTTCTATGTCTAGCAGATACCTAAACCCAGTACATCAAAATGAAACTGACTTCACCCTCCAACCCCCAAAACCTATTTTCCCACTGTTTGCTCCAACTTTTTCTGCCAGGTGTTCAGGTCACACTTAAGAGTCAACAGATCATCCAGGACTCACCTTTCTTTTCTGTCCAATGTCCTGTTCAGTTCTACTTTCAGAAGCTACCCTGAATGACCACACTTCCACTCTACAATCTTCCAAACCACTGTAACTTGTTGCAGGATTATCAGAATAGATTACTAATCTTATATTTGACTATAGTAAGAATGATTCTGTGACTCTCCTGCTCAAACTCCTGCTCCAAACTTTTCCCCCGTTTATTTTGGGCAGTACTGGGGATGGAACCCAGAGGTGCTCTATCACTCAGCTACACTCTCAGCGCATTTGTTGTAAGACAGGGTCTTACTAAGTTGGCCGGGTGGAACTCAAACTTTCAATCTTCTTGCCTCAGCCTCTCAGAACGCTCATTATAGGTGTACGCCACCACACCCAGTTTATCACTATATATCTATGTATCTATACATCTATATATAAATATATATATCCCCTTATGCAGATATATGTATTATACAAGCAGGAATTTAATTTTGTCCATGTGCATTCCAAGGGCCTGGAACAAATTGAATAGTGCCGTCCATATGTAAGTGAGTAAGTGAAAGATCATGGATAAATAAGAGGTAAATATGCACTTGGCTTTCATGTGACATGCCAACAGATTAGTTTTACATCAAAACTGTACACTTGGGCCAGGGATGTAGCTCACTGGTAGAGTGGTTGCCTTCCATACATCAAGACCTTGGCTTAATCCAGCACTGTATAAGAAAAAAGAAAGAAGCCAGATGTGGTGATACACACACTCAGGAGGCTAAGGCAGGAAGATCACTGCAAGTTTAAGGCCAGCTTGGGCTACATAGTGAATTCAGGACCAGACTGAACTATATAGTGGACCCTGTCTCAACAAAAAGGAAAAAAAAAAAAAAAAAAAAAGTTTGAGGACAGCACAGGCAAGGCTGACTTGACTAGATAGCAAAACCTGTCTCGGAGGAAAGCGCAAAAAAAAAAAAAAAAAAAACGGTACCCTGTCTAAAAAAAAAAAAAAAAAAAAAAAAAAAAAGCAAGGAGAGAGGGAAGGGAAATGAAAGGAAAAAAAAAAACTACACAATTACGGAGGAATTATAACATCAACTAGGTGTAGTGGTGCATGCCCATAATCCTAGCACGTGGGAAAGCTGGAGGCCAGCCTGGGCTACATACATAGTGAGTTCAATGTCAGTATGGGTTACATAGCAAGAGCCTAGTTAAAAACAAATCAACAACAAAAAGAATTTTAACAATAGCCTCAACTACATGAAAATACAGCTATTGATATGACAAGCAAATTTTTACTTGCATGGTAATTTAATGACAAATTCTAGAGTAGTGTTTCTTCAATCAGTAGAATTAAAATACTGTTTTCTAAGATATTAACAGTGTTAATAAAAAGTAGAAAGGCACAGAGGAGGGCAACACAGTATAGCAGTTACAGGGTCTCTGGAAATCAAAATGCCTGGATTCAAATCTTGGCTTTACCACTTCATTAGCTATGACATAGAACACAGATAACTGAAGCTTTCTGTGCTTTCATTCCTTTAACTATAAACTGAGGGCAACAAAATACCACAGGTGATTTTCTGAGGACTATAACAAATGAATTATTGGAAAGGTGCTTTAAAAAGTAAGTGTCTGGCCTGGGCATGGTGATGCATGCCTATAATCCCGGCACTCGGGAGGCTGAGGCAGGAGGGTCACCATGAGTTCAAGGCTAGCCTGAACTACACAGTGAAGACCCTGTAGCAAAAAAAAAAAAAAAAAAGAAAAAGAAAAAAGTTCCTAGGATAAAGAAAATTCTGTCAAATTTTGTTAAATAAAATATATAAGTATTTTCTATATATAAGTAAGTTTGGGAAATAGTGAGTTAAACAAAGTTAAACAAGCTTTTCAATTGAAGGCTTTCTAAGAGCATTTAATTCATCAAGGTGCCTTGCAAGTCTCTGAGCAAATGTGAGTATATGTATTAATATCCAAATGATTTGACTAGAAATCCCTGACATTGGCTTTTCAAAAGGCAGGTGTTTGTGCCGCTGAGCTACATCTCTGGCCCCAAGATACAGAATTTGTAAACAAAGGCTTCTTCCGTTTGTACAGATGACCCAGCTCTAGTTCTTTTAAAAATAGGCACAGATAGCCAGGTGTGGTGGCACCTGCTCATAATCCTAGCACATGGGAGGCTGAGGCAGGAGGATCGCTATGAGTTGGAGGCCAGCCTGAGCTAGCATAGTGAGTTTGACGCTAGGCTGAAGTACATAGTGAGGCTCTGTCCCAAAACAAGCCAAAAAACCCAAAACAAGCAAACAAAAAAAAAAACCACAACAGTACAGGTAGCTATGACAAATATGATATGATCACCAATTCGAGACTGGCAAAACAATTTTCTACTTGATTTCTTTCTGACTTACCCAGAAAAACCAAATTCTTTGATTGCATTTGATAGCCAATTCAGAGTTTCTGACTGGTTCTTGGGATTCTTCTGTGAGAAAGCCATTGACATAACCTGTCAATGGGAAAAAAACAACAGTGAATAATCTGTGTTTTCTCGCATATTTGTTGGAGAAACGTAACATGTCTTTAAGGTGGATAAGGGTTAAGCCTGGCTTTTTTGACACTACAACAACTAAAGGAAGGACTTAGGAATAAAAGACTTGCCTACAAAAGAAAATGAGGTCAGAGATACAGTAGTAGTGTTAAAAGCACACTGGAGTGCACAGCTTTGCACTGGTGATCACTCTGGATTATACTCTCTTAAGAGAAAATTACTGTCGGGGCTGGGGATTTAGCTCAGCGGCAAAGCGCCTGCCTGGCAAGCGCAAGGTCGTGAGTTCGGTTCCCGGTTCCGGAGAAAAACCAAAAAAAAAAAAAAAAGAGAAAATTACTGTCATCTTCTATGGAACATTCTTAGATAAATTTCCATTATCAGGCAACAGTGTATTATCAAAGTAGAAATAAAAATACATTATAAAAAACACTTTTACTTAAGATATTAATTAGCAAGCTTACATTACACTTGGGGGACAGCTAGGAAGCCCTGGGGAAAGACAGCTGTGTCACCAACCTGCTCCGCTGTCCACGGCAACATACAAGCCTCAGCCATTGCTGTCATGGCTTCTTTCGCATTATTTCCACATTTCACATCTCCAATCTTGTCCACAAGGCCGTCTAACACAATCTGAGCTGACGTTTTGGAAAAGTTTCCCTTCTGGGCAATCAAAGCAACTATGTGAAGCTTCATCTGCATCACCTGAGAATAAGTATCATAAAGTTGTAAATCAGCCAGAGACATTCATTTATTTATTCACATAGCCTGAAGCTGTAACATAGCTGAGGGTCGCTGAGAAAACAACCAAACTGAAAACAGAAGTTTAAACAAAGAAGCGAAACAATTTTTATCTTTTAATTGATATCAAAGGAGCTAACTGACAATGAAGAGAAAAAAACCCAAATAGTCCATGTTCCGAAAGAGGAAAGCTTATGAACTGAAAAATATGATTTATATATTACTACTCTGATGAGTCTGCATTTTTGCAATAATCTGAATACATAGTTTAAAATATTACAACAAACCATCTTACTGACTACATAACTCAGAGTTATCCTACTGCTGCCAACACAAAACCTACAACCCTTGCACATGCACAAATAGCACAGAACTTGGGAGATTTTAGAGAACTTGTAGGGTTGGCTTTGTCTTTTTGAGACAGAGTCTTGCTGTGCAGTTCAGGCTGGCCTTGAGCTCACTTTGCAGTGCAGGCTGGTCTCGAACTTGCAATGATCCTCCTACCTCAGCCTCCCAAGTGCTGAGACTACAGGTGTGCACTACCATGCCAGGCTGACTTATAGGTTTTTTAAGTGGGAGAATGGAATTGTGGAAAATAGCTTAAAGATACTAATATGATGACAGACACATGGGACTTATGAACACTTTCCCTAAAAATATTTCCCTTTGTGGTATCTGAGTATTTTCTTTTACTTTGTTCAGCTACTAGAAATTCCAACAACTACAGATCCATTATGTAATGAGCACCCTAAGATTTAATTATCTTAGGCAGGACTTCTGGGATGCAGACTTCTGGAAAGTTGATCGCCGCTAAAGCAGCGATAATACTGGCAAGAACTGCAACAGTTCTTTCAGAACCCTCAAAATTAACCAAAGACTTGAAATAATGCAAGGGAAATTTAAAGCAGAGCTACCAAATCTCAGTAAGAAGAGTCACCCTTCTGGCAATTTAATTAGCCTTATTTTCATCCTCCTCTTCTCACCTCCAAGCAGCCTTCAAAATCGGCAGTCTAGCTTGGTGTGATGGTGCACGCCTGTAGTCCCAAGCTCTCTGGAAGGCTGAGCGAGGAAGATTCCAAGTTCGACCCCAGCCTATGCAACTTAGTAAGACCCGGTCTCAAAGTTTTAAAAAAAGGGGCTGGAGATGTAGCTGAGTGCAAACATTCTGGGTTCAGTCCCTAGTACTGCAAAACAGACAAAACCCCAGAAAACGCCAAAAGACAAACAAAGACAATCCAGCAGTCTCATAACTACGGCAATCGTAAAACACAGGACTGTAAAGTCATTAAGGCCAGTAAGCCAAGTTTGGAGTTCTGCTCAAAAAATGCCAACTCAAAGCACTGTCATCATGTGAGCATCTGGTAGTTCCCTGGAAAAGTGCCATGTGAAGGATCCGTTATTTGCCAAGACTAGCTAGCTCCCTGGGGAAAGCCTTATTACCAGGGCTTTGCCAAAATCAGCCAGTGACAACTGTTCAACATCTAATATTGTAGCGGTCTGATGATGCAATACTAGTTGAGGCAAAGGAACTTGTTCAAATTAAAAGGAAGATTTGGGGAGTAAAATGTCCACAGGAGACTCTGAAAGGCACCTATATATTCCCAAGAATCTAGGAGCCATGACCATACACAAGGCAGTGTGCAGGCAGAGGAAAGACACAGAAGGGCCCTATCTCTTAGCTCTGGCCAATCCTAAGACCCTGTGTAAACAGAAGCGAGGCTTAAGGTGAAGTTGCTCACTTGGATTAACTGAAGAGGTATCCAGCACACATACACAGACACCCTCTGCTGACATGGAAGACATACTAGTTCAGAAACATCAGGAAACATCTTCCTAGTCAGTGGTGATGAACCTGTGCCACAAGTGCTGCGCTGGACTGTCTGTACCAGCGAAAGCCCTTAAAGGTTCAACATCACTCCGTCACCAGTGGACCACTAAGCTAGGTGAGCAGAAACTTCAGTGGCTGCAAACTGAAAGTATGCGATTACACTTCATAATCCCAAGGATGACTGGAATTTTAAAAATGAAAAATAACAAATTCACCAGTGTGTGGAGATAATGTAACTTTCATTTACTGCTGGCATGAATGTAAAATGTTGTAATTTTGGGAAGCAGTTTTGTGAATTACTCAAAAACACAGAATTGGGGGCTGGGGTTTAGCTCAGCAGCACAGCGCCTGCCTGGCAAGCACAAGGTCGTGAGTTCGATTCCCAGTACCGGAAAAAAACAAAAAAACAAAACAAAACAAAAAACAACACAGAATTGTATGACCCCAGCAACTCTACCCAAGAAATGAAACCCTGTTAAAATAAAAATTTGTATAGAAATGCTTGTAACAGCACTAGTGACGATAGATAAAAAGTTGAAATAACCCACGTGCAAACTAATCAATAGGGACTACACAGTGGAATGTTATTTGGCAATAAAACTGTTATATGCTACAATATAGGTAAACTTTGAAAATACTATGTTAAGTAAAAGCCAGACACAAAAGCCACCTACTAGATGATTCATGTCCAGAAGAGGTAAATTCATGAGACAGAAAAGTAGATTAACAATTAACGGGGACTCGAGGTTGGGGAGGAATAGAGTGACTGCTACTGAGTAGAGGTTTCTTTTGGGAGTGATGAGAACATTCTAATAGGGTTGCAGAGCTCTACGAATATACTAAACAACCACTGCATCAGAAAACAGGGGGTTTTACACCCTCAGCAGTTATACAACATACATACATAAAATTATCCTTTGTTATGGATCCAGGATTACAGAAGGTCCAGTGGTCAGGTGTTCTCTTTTTTTTTTTTTTTTTTAGGTTTTTTCTCCGGTACCGGGAACCGAACTCACGACCTTGCGCTTGCTAGGCAGGCGCTTTTTGCCGCTGAGCTAAATCCCCAGCCCCCCAGGTGTTCTCTTTTAACCATCTAGAAGCTGCACACAGAGGTCGAGTGGCCATATGAAGAGGGAGGGGGCAAGGCGAGACCCTCCTCCACTCAGCCCATGTGGGGCCAGGTGATCCGGCTGAGGTGCTGTACCAGGGGTGTTAGGGGAGCACGTAGCATGTGGGAGCAAGAGCCAAGAGAGAAAACAGGAGGCGCAGGAGAGAGGCAAAAAGGGACTAGCAGGGTGTCAAAAATAAACCTGGCACATTTCAAGTTTAGTACAAGCTCTCTAAGTGTGTCTAAGTGAACAATCCTGTCATTTTCTTAAGCCTCCCTCAACAACCACTTTTTAAAAAAATGTGTTTATTTTTGTTACTACTATACCTGTTTGTAGTACACAATGATCACACTGATCACGGGGGATTTGTACATGTATATCACATCTTAATTCTTTTTTTTGTCCTCTTCCTCTCCCTTGCCTCTAATCCTTCTTCCCCTCCCCATCAAAAATTCTATATATTTATTTTTTTTGAGACAGGGTCTTGCTGTGTAGTTCAGGCTAGCCTTGAACAGTGGAAATCTTCCTGCCTCAGCCTCCTAAGTGCCAGGATTACAGGCATGTGGCACAATGTCCTGCTCTATTTCCTTTTTTCTCTTTCTGTGGTGGATTAACAACTGGTGGTCAACTTCTAACACCCAGTGGAACCGAGTGTGGTGCTGGGTGTGGGAGGCCCACCTGGGGATTGTTGCCAACAGCACAAGAAGCAGAACTGGAGAAGAAGGGAGGCTGTTGGGAGCTGAGAGGCTGTTGGGAGCTGGTAGAAGCTGTAAGGAACTGTTGCTTCTCTTGGAGGAGCTTGTCATGCTGGCTTTCCTGATGAACTCAGCTGTTTTCATCCTTTGAGGAGCTTAGGACCTTGTTGGCACTGAGAATAGCTTCGGTTCACTTTGGGGGAGCTCTAGCCCTCACTCTGAGCATCGCTTCCTGGCTCCAGAGGGGGAGATGGTGCACTGCTCAGTCTCCTTGAGAAGTTTGTCACATTGGCTTTCCTGATGGGAACTCGGCTATCTTGATCACTGGAGGAGCTCAGGACCTCACTGTTGCTGAGGATGGCTATGGTACTTTTGGGGGGAGCTCTGGTTCTTATTTTGAGTATTGCTTCCTGGTACCAGCGTAGATCCCTCAGCCTGCTAGCACAGATCCTTCATCCCGCTGGCACACTTTCCAGATTCCACCATTGACCTTTGGGCCTTCCCAGCACAGATCCATGAAACAGGCCTGCACGAGACATTGTCGTGGGCTCTGGGCCCCAGCTGGATTCATGGGAGACACTGTTAGGGGCTCTAGGTCTTCAGCTGGACTCATGCAGGACATTTCTGTGGGATCCAGGCCCTTGGCTGGATTCTCTGGTCTTTAGTGTGTGGACAGATTTTCTGCACTCTTTTGTATCATTCTTTGGGTGACTATTATAAATAATCTTATAAAATATGTGTCCTGTATTATACTGTTCACCTTGCAAAAAGCTCCAAACCAAGACACCTTCAATTTTTTTCTCTTTAACTCTCTTTTCCCTTCTTTCCCTCCCCCATATCTTGCTCTCCTCATTTAAAACAGCTCTTTTTATTTATTATTTATCTTCCATTTTGGTCCATATTTATACTTTGGGTTTCTCATACAAGAGAAACAATGCAATATTTAAACGTGTGTCTGATTTACTTAAGATTATGGTCTTAAGGTACATCCATTTACCTAAAGACATCTCAAGTTTATCCTTTATAACTGAGCAGTACTCCACTGTGTATAAGTACCATATTTTCTTTATCAGCTCATCTGTTGATAGGCATATTAGCTTAGCTATTACAAATTGTGTTGCTATAAATATAGGCATGCATATATCACTGCAGTATTGAGGACCTTAACTCTTTCAGGAAGATACCTAGAAGGAGAATAGCTGATTCAAATGGACCTTCTAGTTTTAGTTTTTTGAGGAATCTTCCTTCTGCTTTCCATAGTGGTTCAACAACTATTTTATTTTTTTATTTTATTTCATTTCATTATTTTTGGTACTGGGAATCAAACTTAGGGCCTTGCGCTTGCCAGGCAGATGCTGTGCCACTGAGCTACATCCCTAGCCCCAGCAACCGCTTTTTAAACTAATAATTTAGTACTTTGAAGTCTCACTCTATTATCATTAATAAGGTTATAAAAAAGACGAGGCAGTAAATTTTCAATGGCAATTTAAAGACCATACTTATATTTTATCGAAATAAGCAGGAAAGCGATCTCATTGTTTCTCTCCCCCTTAAATATGTGAAGACTAGACTTGGACTTTGAGACCTAAGAACAAGGAGTGGGGAAGCTGGGCACAGGGGTTCGCACCTGCAGTACCAGCTACTTCAGAGAACGAAGCAAGAGGATGGCATCAGCCTAGGAGTTTGAGACCACCCGGGGCAACGTAGTGAGACCTTGTCTCAAAAAACAAAAATAAATAAAAAAGCAGGGGAAAAAACCACATGTATAAATCACACAAGTTACATAATTTTTGCATTTATTTATCTAATCTAATTGCATAAGTTTCTTCGTAGGACGATGTAACAGAAATTACTTCAATAAAGACGTTAAATCTGTAACTAAAAAATACCTGAAAATTGGTTTCTTTCCATCCAGGTTTTTTGGCCAGCATCCTCACTAATGCCTGGCATGGCATTTCAGTTCGGTCCATCAGTTCAACAGCCTTGAAGTAAAGTAAGATGGTAATAAAGTTAAAAGAAAGTAAAGATTACTTCCAAAGGCAGGGTAAATACTAAAATCAAGGAAGTGGTTACCTGTGCAGGAGGAAGGGGAATGCAACTGAGGAAAGTTGTAGAGGGAGCTTAGTTTCCGTTACAATGTTTGTTTCTTTCTTTACTTACTAACTTAGAGACAGGGTTTCACTCGGTAGTTCAGGCTGGCCTTGAACTTATTCATTTAGGCCAGGCTGGCCTTGAACTCACTGTGATCCTCCTGCCTCAGCCTCCCAAGTGCTGGGATTACAGGCATGCCCTACTATACCTGGCTATTTTTGTTTTTTTAAAACAAAGTATTCCTATGGCCTCAAAGTCATGATCCTCCTACTCAGCCTCCCAAGTGCTAGGATAATATGTATGCTCCACTATACCTGGTGTAATGCTTCATTTCTTAAATAGGTGCTTAGTATACGGTGTCATTGAAACTTATTATTATCACATTTTAGGAATTCACAAATAATTTCTTCCAAGCAAAGTAACAATAATAGTTTTCACTTGCCTAGTATGTGGCAGAAACTGCTCATACATATTTTGTATTGACTCTCCTAAAAACACAGTTATGCAGGGTAGAAGCAGTTAAGTATTGAATCTCAAGTACAAACTCAGGTCCAACTCACTGCAGTGGCAGATATGGACTAGAAGGTTCTTGACTAAAGTCCCACTGCTCTTTCAAATTCTTTAGCTCCTTCTTTTCATTAGAATCACACAGTATCTGCCCAAATGAGCCACCATGCACCTTTCTAAGACAGGGGAAATACAAAATGATGAGCATGTATAAGTGGAGAGATCCGTCTGCTTAGTAAGTTTATCAGCATGTACTATAATTTAAAAATTCAGCTAAGCTGTATAATTCAGAATAAGAACCTAACACTGTTGCAAAGTAGTTAGCTATGAGCTTACAGAAGCCACAGAATACACATATTGAAAGATAAAACACTGAAGAGCTACGAAAAAATCAGAAGTCCCCTGTCACCTTTAGTTAATGCTATGAAATATATTCACTGGTTATCTCATCCCTGTACACTCACCTTCTGGAACTCTTCCATGCAGGCTAGCCTTTCCTTCCAGTTACTGCTGTCAAGCAACTGTATACAGGTAGGGGGAAGGACAGCTGAAGCTTTTTCTTCACATACTTCTATCTATAAGATATAAAAATAAGCTAAAATTAGGAATTGCTTAAGGAAACAGATGGCAAGAATTAAAAATACCCCAGGTAAAACTAAAAAAACACTCCCATATGTATGATATAGTAACCAAGTCTTCTGCCATAAAGGGTTAGTCCAAGGCAAATTCAGTGCACTAGAATATATCAATTCCCTATATGTTGTAGAACAAGGAGAGGAAATAACCAGATCTTCTCATAGGTCTCAAGTGTCCATGGGTTTACATCTTTGAGGCATGGTGCATGATACTGACCGAGAGCTCAGGCTCCACTATTTCTTTGGTCTCCAATCCTTTTTTGTTCTTGGTTCCAATGCTCCCTGTACCTCCTGGTGCAGTTGGTTTTCCCTTTTTAGGTAGTCCACCAGCCTAAAAGCAATTTAAAAAAAAAACAACCATTTAAGGATTTAGAAGAGTGGCTTTTAAACTTTTTAAGTTTTATAGAATCCTTTTAATTATATTAAAATAAGTGATCACCCCAGAATAAGCATTTTTCACACCCACAGAATTTGCAGTTTCAAGAGCAGACAGAAAACCATCCCTGGGGCAGATGGGTAATCCGCAGAATGCATACGGACATTCCTCATTTAACAACTGAGCTGCAAACAGATCATTAAATGAATTGGTCACTAAATAAGGAATTATACATAGTGTGTACATTACAATATTCAGAAGAAAGAAATGGTCAGAGGAAACTCCAACTTGATGACTTTGCTTTTATTTGCGGAACTCTTACACGCACTACTTTTATATATATCAGAACATAAAACTACAGTACTGGACTATACCGTAAAAGCAAAAATTACAATACTATATAAACAGGGCGTACTGTACAAATAAAAGATGGATCGTAAGTCCGAGCAGCAGGTCGTAAGTTCAAACAGTCAGTAAACAGGTAGGTCATTAAGTGAGGAATATCTGTATTAACACTTCTCACTCAGAATAAGCTAATGAATGAATGAAACAAAAAGGTTGGGCTGGGAGTATATTACCCTGACAGATGAATTTTTGTTTTTGTCTTTTTGAGACACGGTCTCACTCAGGCTGGTCTTGAACTCACTTTGTAGCCCAGGCTGGTCTCGAACTTGCAATGATCCTCCTGCCTCAGCCTCCCAAGTGCTGGGATTACAGGTGTGTGCTACCACGCCCGGCACAGATGAATTTGTGAATGATATCTAATGTTTTGAAATGCCCACAATTAGGGGCTGGGGATTTAGCTCAGCGGCAAAAGCGCCTGCCTGGCAAGCTCAAGGTCCTGAGTTCGGTTCCCGGTACCGGAAGAAAAAAAAAAAAAAAAGAAATGCCCACAATTTTCCAACATTAGTACAGGACACTAAGTGATAAATTTTACTCAAAATATGTGATTTCAAAGTGCCCCAGTATCAACAGAAGAAACTTTATTTTTCACTGTAGAACTATATGATTTGCATTGGAAAAGAGGGGCTGTCATACAATCTTCAGTTACTTTTCCACTTATGCTGAAAATGGCCAACTCATTGAATCTTACTGTTTTAGTGGTTTCTCAACGTAACTGTTTTCTTTTCCAGTAGGAGGATCAAACTCAGGGCCCTATGCACCACTGAGCTACAACACCACTCCTTTTAAGGTTTATTTTGAGACAAGGTCTTGCTAAGATGCCCAGGCTGGCCTCAAATGTTGCATCTTTCTGCCTCAGCCTTCTGAATAGTTGGAATTCTAGCCATGTACACCCACAACTAGCTAGTTTTTAACTAAACAGAAATCTTTAATATTTGTCACTTTTAATCAGTAGTATGGTTTGGATGTTCATGCTAGAACCTTATGGAGAGATTTGATTGTTTTCTACCCCTAAAAATGAAAAATACACAATATGGTTGTGTATCCGTAGTTCCAAGCCACTCAGGAGGCTGAGGCAAAGAATCCTTTAAGCCCAGGAGTTCAAGGCCAGCTTAGGCAGGCAATGCAGTGAGGGCCTGTCTAAACAAACAACAATACTCTTTGATTGATTAGTACATATCTCTGCATTCTCCTGTCAAAGCACTCTGTAAAGACAGGTATCACAATGAACAAATCTACTCATCTTTTTAAACTGACAAATGTTTATTTATTGACTTATTCCACATGCTAGTTGGCTCAGTAAGTTAAATGCTGATACTATCCTGTTCATCTTTTCAAAATGGAAACAGAAAGGGCTTGCCTCCACCATATAGAAAAAAATTTTTTTTTTAATTTTGTTAATTTGTTTTGAGACAAGATCTCACTATGTAGTCCAGGATGGCCTCAAACTCACTGAAATCCTCCTGCCTCAGCCTCCTGAGTGCTGGGATCACAGGCTATAGTAACACACCTGGCAAAACAATATTTTTCTAAAAGAATTTTTCATCATCTTTTAAGAGGAAGCCACCTAGGTTGAGCATGGAAAAGTTGAGAGAGTTAATAGCCAAGTGGGTTGTAGTAAAACCCGGTGGACTGGTCTGAAGGTTTTGGGACTAGTTCATTTTCCAAAGAGGCAGAAGCTGGTAAAGAAAAAAATAGCTGCCAATTTCCTCTAACAAAGAAGGTATACACAGATTTTGTAACTAGAGATACTTAGGTTCAAATGCCAGCTTTGTCACTGTTCATTCTAAAATACATCTCCAGTTCATACTACTTGCCAGAAAGTACACTATACATGGACAATCAAGTAGTAACAAGATCTCCATCCTTAAAAGTTTATGATACAGTGTAGAAAAACAAAGTAATCAAATGAACAAAAATAAAAGTATCAAAGTGAGTTAAAAAAGCATGTGTAGAACATTTAATCTCACTAAATCTTGTCTTCTCTTTCTGGAAAACAAGGGTTATGAAATGCCTACCTTAAGAGTTAAGGTGATTAAATGCAATTATAAAGGTAAGTTGCTCTAAATCATGCTCACTCAAAAACTGGTTCTCTTTTAACTCCATGCTAGAACACAGGGTGGGGCTAAGAGTGGGGAAAGAGAATCAAACTTTTTGTATCTACAGCAGAAACCTTTCACGCTCAAGGAAACATACTCACTGAAAGATTGGGACAGCTGCCACTAGGCATTTTTCCCAAATCTACATGGTTCAAAGGTGAGAAGATCTAGACTGGTATGGAGACCAAGTGATGTGATAATGCAAAATGACCAAGGTAATGTTATTAATATTACACATTACATTTTATTTCATTAATATTAATATTACATTAATTATTATTACACATTATTAATTATTTCATTATTTAATGATCTTTTCTGATCATTTAAAATGTACTCCTTCCCTTGACCAACTAGTGGAACATTAGCAAAATAAGGTGATGGTATTAATGCTAAGTGTCTTGCTATATTTAATTTATTATTTAATGATATTTATCGATCACTTAAATGTACTCTCTTTGGCCAGGTGGTGGCAGACATCTAATACTCCTTGTTACTCAGGAGGTTGGAACCACAAGTATAAGAGATCCCATCTCAATATAAAACTAAAGGAAAAAAGGAGGGTTAGCAATATAACTCAGCGGAGGAGCACATGCCTAGCATGTAGCAGGCCCTGGGTTCAATCCTGGCACCTCAGTGGAGAAGGGGGAAAAAACCACTCCTCCCTTACATATATGGTCACTTTCCTTCTTCCTTTTGTGTTTTGGGACAGGGTCTCACTCTGTAGTCCACACTGGCCTCACATTTGTGGTGATCTTCCTGCCTCAGCCTCCTGAGTGCTGGGATTAAAAGCCTTTGCCACCATCTCCTCCCTTCCTCTCTTCTTTTCTTTCTCTCTCTCATTTTGTTTCTCTTTCATTTTTTTTTTTTAGGAATCTGGGGCTTGAACCTAGGATCCTGACATATTAGGCAAACTTTACCACTGAGCTACTCCATCTTTCAGTTCAGTGATTTGTAACAAGGGTGACAAGATCATCCAACATTAAGGACAGTATTTCCAGCAATGGCCCTGGGAAGACTGTATGTCGACAAGCAAAAGAATGAAGTTGGAGCCTTACTTCACACCATAAAAGAAGAATTAATTCAAACCAGATTAAAGACCTAAAATTATAAAATTCTAGAAAAATTCCAGGGTAAAAACTACATGACATTAGATTTGGCAATGGTTTCTTGGAGAAACTAAATATTATAGACAGTAAGAGCAATAACACAAAAACAAACTGGACTAAAATTTCAATTTTTGTGGGTAAAATACAGTTATCAAGAGTAAAAAGACAACCAATAAAATGAGAGAACATGTTTGCAAATCATATATCTGATAAGGAATTCATATCCAGTAACAGAGAATACCCAAAATTTTTCAACAAAAAAAAACAATTAAAAATAATGGAGTTGTGTGTGGTAGCTCACACCTATAATCCCAGCACTTGAGAGGCTGAATCAAGAGGACTGTGAGTTTGAGCTCAGCCTGGGCTACACAGCAAGTTCAAGAATGGCATAGACTACAAAGGAAACCCTGTATCAAAAAGGGAAAGAATGAATGAAAGAAAAAAATGGGCCCAAAACTCCAACACACTTCCTCCAAAGAGGGTAAACAACCAATAATCACGTTAAAAGATGTCTATCATCACTAATCAATAGGAAAATGCTAATCAAAACTACAGGTTAAGTGGATAAGGAAATTGTGGTACAGCTACACAACAGAATTATTATTCAGCCTTAAAAAGGAAGGAAATTTTCTGCTGGATGTAGGGGCACGTGCCTATAACCTTAGCCACTTAGGAGGCCATGTCAGGAGGATTCCAAGTTTGAGGCCGATCTGGGAAATTTTGCAAGACCTTGTCTCAAAATAAAAAGAATCAGTGATGTAACTCAGAGGTAGAGTACTCCTGGGTTTAGTCTTTAATATCCGCCCCACACACACACTGGGAAAGAAAAAGGAAGGAAATACTGACACATGCTACAACACAGATAAACCTAAAACTAACATTATGTGAAGTGAAATAAGCTGGCCACAAAAAAGACAAATACTAGCTGGGCATGGAGATACATACCTGTAATCCAGTACTGTGGGAGGGTGAGGCAGGAAGATTGAAAGTTTAAGCTCAGACTAGACAACTTAGCAAGACCCTATCTTTAAAAAATGAATAAATAAAAAATAAATAAAGGGTTGAGGACGTAGCACAGTGAAAAAACCCTGGGTTCAATCCTCAACACCAAAGAAACCAACCAATTGTGGCTGAAAGTGCAGCTCAGTGGTATAGCACTTGCCTACCAGAGGCAAGGCCTTGGGTTTAATCCCCAGTACCAAAGAAACAGGAAGGAAGAATGAGGGTAACCAGAGGCTGGTGGAAGGGGAGTCTGGGCAGTTACTATTTAATGGGCACAAAGTTTCCACTGTAGAGGTCAACCTTGGTAACAGCTGCACAACATTATGAATGTATTTAATACCACTGAACTGTACATTTAAAAGTGGTTAAGAGAGTAAAATTCATTATGTTTATTTTACCATAATAAAAAAAACTGGAAAAAATGGACTCTGGTACTTTCATTAGCTTTTTTTTTTTTTTTTTTTTTTTTTTTGTTTTT